TATCCAAAAAGGCAGATTAAGCGCCACTTTCGCCAATTCCACAAGGATTCTGTTGTCCTAACAAAGAGGAAATTTTTTTCCAGCTATCCTTGTGGGCATAAATCAATGTAATCCGTAGAAGGTGGGAACCAAAAAGGTCTACTGCACTATGGATGACATATAGATTTCTCTATTAATTAATCAAATTAAGTCATAATTTACATAATGAAAATCTCTTCCTCTTGATTACATATGTCACCATTTTAATTGTTTTATCACAGAACCCAGCAAATATATAGACTTCTGTCATTAATTATGTAAATTAGATCGTAATTTGCAAAATATTCAGCAAATTAGGTCAAGCATCACTTAAGCTACCGAGATACCAAAAATAACAACAATCCGTCAACCGGTTCTTGAGCTATCCTACTTCAAACATTTTCAAACAAATGCCACTGCATTTCCCAAACAAGCTGCTACGGGGCCCAAACTTACGGCACTTCTTTCTGAGCACGAGAACTACCTACCATCTAAAAATCATGACCATAGCACGTCCATATCACGAGATTTAAAAACCAGAAGTTTCGCTGCAGTACTTTCTAATTCAATGACGTGGGACCCCCCACGAAGCCCATATCCGAACTTGACCTTGGTATTGTCAATGGTAACTTGCCAACTAAAAAACATGAACATCCATTTAAAGATTCTCGAGTTATCTTGATGACAAGAAAAAACACAAAAAACAAAGGTCAACTGCAGTGACATAGAAACCCCCACGGGGCCCATCTTCGAACTTGACCTCGGCATTCTCAACGGTAACTTGCCCACTAAAAATAATGAACATACATTTAAGGATTCTCGAGATATCTTGATGACAAGGAAAAAACACCAAAAACCAAGGTCAACTTCAGTGACTTAGGAACCCCCCACGAAGCCCATTTTTAGCCTTGACAATGGCCACCCCTAAATCAACCTGCCTGCCAAAAATCGTGAACCTCGGACCTTGCCTTCAAGAGTTATCGTGCCTAATCTGCCAAACAGTGCAAACCCGATTTCATAACCTTCTCCGAAGGCATAGCCTTCAGTCGAAGGCAAAAAGAAGAAGTCAAACCCAGTAAAACTAGTGTCATGTCATGTTGTAGAATATAGTATAATGTTAGAAGTAGATGTAGTCCCACATACCACTGTATTTTCTTTCTATGTTGTTTGTAACTGCAATTAGCCCTCGGGCAAGTATTTGCAATAAACTTTCATTCTTGCTCCGTTTTCACAGCAACATGGGTGGGAGGAGGTTACATCAACGGAACAGCGGAAGTGATCTTTGACCCCAAGCAAGGACTGATCTGGTGCCAGGCCCCTTTCGGATACTCCACCAGCCTCCTTCTCGGTAAGCGGTTTGACGTTCCATAAATTTCTGTGATAAACCATCATCTATCTGATTCTTCTATTCATTAAACACCCCCTTTCTGTTGTCTTGCCTATGCCCTTTTTTGGCTACCAGTTTTTATGACCTCGATGGATCAAAGAAGTAAATTCAACTACGTAGTCTGAGACATTTAATAATCGCTGGTTTGTAAATAAAGGGCAGTATATTATCAACTACATGTAGACATCAGGAATGTCCACCAAGGACTGCACAAGTTTTAACCTGTAATAAGGATGTACATTACATCTGTTAGTAAGAATAGAATTTGTAAAAGTGTCACATACAGTTTTTACTTCAGGGCTGGAAGTATCGTATTGATTGGCGCTGACATATGCTAGGTTCTTATGTTTGGGTTTCAAAGCAGATATTAGGTTATACTTGCACGCTTGATTGACAGGGTTTTGATCCGGTATGGCCGTGGTTCAAGGGCGTGGTCGCTAGTAATGTATGAAACAAGATGGTGTATGCAAACGCATGTGAGTAAGTAGTAATGAATTCTATGATGTATTAGAGCAAGCTATATCTAATACCTGATCATGATTTCTCGACATCGTGATACGATATGAATATCTCATCCGTGAATAGTTTCATCAGGTTGGTAAGTCACTGAGACTCTTTTTACACAACCAAGTCGTTCATTCAGCCGAAGTTTCGGTGACCGTCTGTCATCTTCCTCAGGGCAATTCTGACTGGTTCACATTGCATTGCAGCACAGGTGTCGATGCTATAGATGCATTCCAAAAATGTACAATCAAAGTTTGATTCGATATGAATATGTCATATGAATATCTGGTCCAAACGAACAGGAGGGCTTTTCTTCGCGAAGAAGATGCGTTCTGAAGGGTACGTGACGATGCTGGACCCGTTCCAGCGGCGGTACGGAGAGAGGATGGGCGGGCTGCTCTTCATCCCGCTCTGCTGGCAGACGTCTGCTGGTGCGGCGCCATCCTGGCTGCTCTCGGTAAGCTCGATAACTTCTTGGGCCTTTGACCTCCAGTGAGTCTACCTGACCTGCCAATCGTCTTCCCACCCACGTGTTGTCAACCTACTCTACCCGGACGTACAGAAAAACAAGCCCACAGCTCGGCCACCCGAAACAATACTTCATCATGCACGCAGAAAGTGTGATTAACAGGTATAACTAGGTTTTCAGTCGACTTCTGAGAGCTACATACAACAATCTGACGTGTGCAATAACCATCGTTATCACCAGGCTTCGAATACTTTAAAAGTATTATACCGATCACATATCAGCCTACATTGACATCACCATATCTTCGCCATTGTTTTCATCTGTTCTCATGATTTATGTCTCCAGGCACGACCTTGACCGTGATCCTTGAGCTGGACGTGAACGTGTCCATCCTGATCTCCGCCGCCATTGCCGTGTCCTACACGCTCTTCGGGGGGCTCTTCTCTGTCATCTACACTGACGTCATCCAGCTCATATGCATATTCATAGGACTGGTATGTGACATCAAAAGGGTGTCTTGGAATAGTTTTAATATATTTTTATATCACAATCTCTATTTTTTTAAACTGATATTACACATGTCCGTTTTCGGACAAAAGCAGCTGCATTATGCTAGTATAGTGAGCCATTGACGAAAGCTAGTGGATGCTAACTGAAACGTTTGACGTTTCCAAAATCATATCCAGTTGCTTATCAGTGAGTAACTGCCATATCTTATCACCTGGATGCCCAACCTTCACCGACGTCCCCTATGTCTTGTTCCACAGTGGATTTCTGTCCCGTTTGCCATGACCAACCCTCTGGTGTCGAACATCGGGACCACCACGTGGAACCGGCTCCTGTACACCCCTGTTAACGACTCCTCCAACATCACAACCTTCAACGCGACCGAGACGAACGGCTGGGTCGGGGTCTGGGACATGAAGAGGACCGGATATTGGATCGACCACGCCCTGCTGCTGGTGAGTATAATCTTCGGGTAGATGTCTGGTGGCAAAAGTGTTAATCTCCAAGCAGATATCTGGTGGCAAAAGCATTACGCACGGTTTAGAACTGACCATCTAGAGAGAGTCCTCAGTCACCCAGAGGTTGAGTGGCAAATGGTAACCGTCTGGCAAATGGATGCTGCCTGACCAATTTGATACTGTCTTTTCAACCACCGAAAAATCTACTTAGAGATTAGGTGAGTGCAGGTTGAATTGGCGGTATGTGTTCTTACTAGCCTGACAACATCACACCTAGCATTGTCGGCGGATGGTTATTGGATAGTCTGCATAACGCAAACTCTGCCGTCCGCGGCTTTACTGGCCCTCACCGCAGAGGGCCGGCTATAAGTTGGGTGGCCGGCAACCGTAAAGCGATTTAATCAGGCTAGTTATTGGACCTTCTGCATCATCAAAACCGCACGACGAATGCAACTGCACCGTTAGTGTAATGGTGCCCAAGATTAATTCTTTTTTCCTTTGTTTGTACAAGGTATTTGGTGGGATTCCGTGGCAGGCCTACTTCCAACGCGTCCTCTCCTCCAAGTCCCCGGCGCGTGCGCAGATGTTGTCCATCGCAGCCGGCATCGGCTGTTTCCTGATGTCCATCCCGTCTGTACTGATCGGTGCCGTCGGTGCTTCTACAGGTGAGTATGATGATTTCCCACTTAGGAAGGTTCATCTTTGATCTGGCTGGAAGTTGTATCGTCTTTTCACGAAGTTTGTAAAAGAGGTCCAATGAATGACCATAAATCATACTTCGCCATAATTTTTGTACAGTGAACCCTGCATAACCCCAGGTGTTATTTGTCCTATAACGTCATTATATCCCCGGTAAGTCTGACACGCACGTTTGTAACTGGTTGCCTAAACAATAGTATGAGATATATGTCAGGTAAATCTGAAAATTGTTGCTATTACCAAATTTATCTGGCATTTATCGTCATTGGTAATGTCAACTTTCCGTGCATTGTTACAGCTTACAAAGTTGTTGTTGCCTTCTCTTATGACACTAACAGACTGGCCGGCGACGGAATACGGTAAGGACCCGTCCGTGGAGGGGGACAAACGTCTAGTCCTGCCGCTGGTGATACAGAACCTGACGCCGACCTGGGTGGCGTTTCTCGGGCTCGGCGCCGTCTCAGCAGCCGTCATGTCGTCCACGGACTCATCAGTACTCGCCTCCAGCTCCATGTTTGCCAAGAACGTCTACAAACCGCTCTTTAGGCAGAAGGTACAGACGGTTTTGTCATTGTTGGTTATTCAGATGATAGATGGACAGGCTACTAATTAGCTAAACGAAGATAAAAGTGGACAGATGTTTGTTTAGCCAGTCGACGGACTCATCAGTCCTGGCCTCCAGCTCCATGTTTGCTAAGAACGTCTACAAACCACTCCTTAGGCAAAAGGTATGATTTTGTCATCTTTGCTTCATTGTAATATCAGAAGAAAAAATTGAATTGTTGTTCGAAAGAAGATGTGAAGATGACAGGCCTAACAATGCATTATTACTCAAAGGATTAAATGACGAAAATTACTCCTTTATCTATGTTTCATGTACATGTCTGGCAGCAACATCGATTATTAACACAGGGCATATTGGGTCAAACCATGTCAATCAAGTGAAACCCTATCTCCGCCCACTCACTTCGGAACCCAAACATACAAACCGAGCAAAAGTTAGCGCCACCCAAAACTATACTATCAGTATTCCGTCCAGGATAGTCAATGGAGTTGAGGGGGAGTCCGATCTTGAATAACGTTTCTGGCAGTGGATTTAGGTATCAATTGTACATTTACAGGCGTCAGAGACAGAGATTGTGTGGGTGATGCGGGCTGCTATCTTCGCCGTGGCTGCCTTGGCGTCTGTTCTGGCCATCACGGTCAAGTCCGTCTATGGTAAGGAAAAGCCAACGTAGAGTGACGAGGATCCTATTCCATATTCTTATTTCTTTCATCAACCATTTAAACTCTAATGTCTACCCACTCAATATGAGCTAATGACACTGTTCGTTGTGTTTCGGTTGCAGAGTCTCTTTCATCCTCTTCGAAAGACTATTTTAGCTGTCGAGTCTCTTTCGAAGAGGACAAAAGAGACTAGACAGCTCAACATACCTGAATGCCAAGCTACAAAGATCATTGTCACCTAAACTTGAACTTTATCCTACATTGCAGGTCTGTTTGTGCTGTGCTCGGACCTGGTGTACGTGGTGGTGTTCCCGCAGCTGGTGTGTGTTGTGTACCTGAAGTTCACCAACACGTACGGCTCGCTGTGCGGGTACATCTTGGGGCTGGTGCTCCGGCTAGGGGGAGGGGAGGATCTCCTACATGTCCCAGCGCTCATCAAGTAAGTCTGCCTGAATCATTTCTAAAAGATAGGATGTTTTGCTCTGGGCACCAGAACGTAGGCATGCAAGTGTAGGCAGACCACGCACTACATCACCTGCTTGAGCTAGGATGCAGGCTGTACTCAAGATCTGGAAGACCTGTTATGGTGCTATTGAAGATAGGGAGGGCTGGAAACAAAGGGTTATGAACATCAGTCAAACTCTCATAACCAGAAGATGATGATGATATAGGACGTCAGGCGTCCAATGCATTGAGCTTTAAAACATGATGGAATTTGTGAAGTCCTGTATGTAGCCTTAACAGTGCAAGAGAGATACTAGCATCCCTTCTACTGGTCTTGATTACCAGTAGCTTGATTACCAGTCCACTGACCCCTATAAACAAGGTACGATCGGGAACATCTTACTCCTGTTGTGCTAATATATATAAAATGGACCAATTATTGTCAGACTGAGCATTGGCCGTTACCATGGCAGTGAGGACTGGTTTCCATAGAGACAGAGAGTCTCCTGTTGGACTAATTTTGGGGGAGGAGGCCCAATAAGCCAATTGCATTGACGTCACTAAAACACCAATTGTGAGCACTTTGTGATGCAAACTAGTCTGACTAGTCTTATTCCCTCCCAAGGTACCCATATTACGACGAGACTACGGGAAAACAACTCTTCCCCTTCCGAACCCTGGACATGATCTGCAGTTTCCTCGCCATTATCCTCGTCTCACACTTAACCAGGCTGCTCTTCGAGAAGAAGAAAATCCCGCTGAAGTACGACATTGCAGGCTGCTTCAGCGACAAGCCAGCGCCTACCAGTGAATCAAATAACGCTCAAGAACTGGAGACCATGAAATAACCACGACCTTAGACCTGAAGATGATTCTCTTAAATTGGCCTTTTTGATTCTGAAATGAATGAACCAGTCTACTACTGCTACTATTCCTGCTACTGCTACTACTGCTACTACAACTACAACTACAACTACTGCTGCTGCTACTACTACTACTGCTGCTACTACTACTACTACTACTACTATTTCTACTTCCACATCTACATCTACAGCTACTACTACTACAACCACCCCTGGTGATATCTTCTGGCGTGCTTAGACTACCTTTTTCGCCTTTAATATAATCACTATCTAACATATCTTCGCCATGTCATCGAATTTGCAGACTGTTTTTCTGTATATACAGCACTGGTAAAACAACTTCAAGCTCTTTACGTTTTTTTTTTTTTATTGTATAGCATTTTTAACAGAAATTCCTTTTTGGTTTTTATTATATATTTATATATTATTGACGTTCACCTTTGTGATTACTTCCTAACATAGCTTCGCCATATTGAATTTGCAGTGTTTTTCTGTGTACAGCATTCTCGAAACAACTTCTTCGCGTTGTCAATGGTTTCTTATTACATAGGAATTTCTACTTAAAATAAAAACAAAATAAAATTCAAAGAATGTGGGATATTTTGCTTGTAGTTATTGTCCCGAGTCTACTACTCTGTTCGGACGCACAGACACACAAGCTGAGCCACCCAACACAATACTCCCGTACGCGGAAGTAACCGCTAGAACGGGTGGCATGTCAAGTGTCTAACATTGCTGACAACGCGAGACAACTTCGGGTGAACATACAGTATGTTGAGGTTTAAGCAGAGGACTAAATAGTGCTAATATGAACGTCTACGTACTCGTAATAACGTCTACATAAAAACGTCTACAATCTCTCTCTCTCTCTCTCTCTCTCTCTCTCTCTCTCTCTCTCTCTCTATATATATATATATATATATATATATATGTATGTATGTATTACAAAGTGACAACATGTACAGTGCGTAAATTGGCTCTTAAAGATATGGAAATATGTATTGTAACAGAACTACATGCAAGGCCATGACTACATGCAAGGCCATGACTACATGCAAGGGCCAAGGCAATACCTTTACAGTAGATTATCTCCTTAAGGGCAACTTGAATCAACTCACTCCGTGAGCTCACCTGGTTACGCGTGACAGGTAGTCCGGCCAAGAAGAACCAACGTGACGTCACGTAAAGCAACCAATGAAAAGAGAGGGTACACAAGGAGGTGCGGTACAACTCTGAAGACTAGAACAACCGTCTTCTGTATCTGTATCTGCATAGCAGTGCACCACACCAGCCTCTGTATCTATATAGCCGGTATACTATTAACCGTCCTTCATCGCTTCGTAGGCACGCGGCGCGGCGGCTGCTGGCTTCTCCAAACCTCTCATCGAGTGTACGTAGATTGTACACAAAGCAAAATGGCTGTAAACATCGCAGGGATTGTAGCGATCGTGATTTTCTACCTGGTGATTTTGGCGATCGGACTGTGGGCTGCGCGTCGGGGGAAGGCGAAGCAGGCAGAGGGTGACCCGGAGAGCGAGCGTGTCATGCTGGCCGGGCGAGACATCGGGGTCTTCGTCGGGGTAATGACTATGACCGGTAGGTACTAATATTACAGGTTCCCTTCCTTCTGAAGTAGAGTGGAAATGTAATGTTAGACAGAGAGAACTGGCGAGTTGTATGTGCTGGCATAGAGCCCGGCTGAGTCCATAGAGTGGACCCATTCCTCAAGTTATACCGACATCTATCACACCACCACATTCGTCCTTCGTCCGTAAGACCAAGGACCCTGTAAAACGTTCTTGTAAAACATCTGGAGCCGCACAGTTCCTGTTTACAACTTTTATTCAGCCCCTGTCACACCGGTTTCGCCATGTGTGGTTATTCAAGCGTTATCCACTGGAAAGGTATAAAAGAGAAATTTTCTAACTTGTGTCATTAAGCCTTTGTACATTTGAATAACCCCACAGGGAGAAACCAGTCGTGTGACAGGCTGAATAGAAGTTCTAAACGTGAACTATGCGGGTCCAGATTTTTTACCGAGGGAAGACTGCAGTGTGATAGATATCGGCTAGCTTGAGGAATAAATAGGTAGGGACGCTTTTGAGGAAATAAAAATGATGATTTAACACTTTTTCGTTAGCAAGACAAGACTACTTCGTGCATCATTCAGAGGATGTAGTGAAATAACTCCCACCCTTCACAGTGACAGATCTCTAACGTATCTGCTCACAGACAGCCAGGTGTGCCCTAGCAGTACAATGACACATCTATCGCCCTGTCAACGGTGTCTTTGTTCCGTGTCCTCGGCTGACCTTAGACCGAACACGCGTGATGTTTACATACAACACCGATGACCTCTGTGTTAGCCTCCCGGATTACCGAGATAACCACTTGACAGAAAATCGCAAACTGCTGTTGACACAAACATAGTTCTAAGAGACAGGTGTCAATACAGTTTATCATGGTCAATTTAAAAGTCACGTAATTATAAAAGGTGTATGTTTTTATAAAAGCAGCACCCAAAACTGAATGTCTTGTGATGTATTGGCGGCAAGGTGATCTTGTGGTTTAAGCTCAAATTGACTCAGAATCTAGAGTCCAGAATCTGAAGGTTCTTGGTTCGAATCCCTTCTGTGCTGGAACGGTATTTCACTGTCTCCTTTGCGAATTCCAGACACGCACCAAAATACGGGTATTTAAGTCCTCTTGACATGTGTTATGGTGCTTACATAATTCGTGTCCAAAGGGCACTCGCTGTTAATACTTTTGACATTTCTTTAACCAACGTAGTTTACATTTGCGTATTGCTCTGTTTGCATTTTTACGTACACAGCAACGTGGGTGGGAGGAGGCTACATCAACGGAACAGCGGAAGTGATCTTTGACCCCCTGCAAGGGTTCATCTGGTGCCAGGCGCCTTTCGGTTACTCCATCGGCCTCGTTCTGGGCAAGTAGGAATCTAATAATGAGAAAGTTTTCCGTCTGAAAAACTGTCTCAACGCAATTTTGGATCGAATCTCTCTGTCTTCATCAGCTATATCAGGTACAAGAGCTGCAGGCACGTGGTTTATGTCGCAGGTGTGACGTTAGCACTGGGTCAAAGTTCGCCGAAAGTCGGTACCGCCCCCCGTCACACGTGCGAAAAAAAATCACGTGTCTACAGTAATCGCATAGCTGGTGAAGACTGATGGATTCGGCCAAAAAGTCAATGATTTTAGAGAACAGTTTCTTCCAAATCTGATCATAATTGTTTCTGTCCTGTCTCTACTACGTACTATTGCAACGGCGTGGTCTTTCGAACAGGAGGACTTTTCTTCGCGAAGAAGATGCGCTCTGAAGGGTACGTGACGATGCTGGACCCGTTCCAGCGGCGGTACGGAGAGAGGATGGGCGGGCTGCTCTTCATCCCCGCTCTGCTGGCAGACGTCTGCTGGTGCGGCGCCATCCTGGCCGCTCTCGGTAAGCTCACAGTTTGATACTCAACCTAGTGAGTGAGTGATACTCTCTGAGCAGATCGATGTTGGTGGGGACGATTGTGATCGCTCCAATATGTACCTTTTTTGTCGATTTTGTGGGGTCGCAACGGAAAAAGGGGCATATTGGAAAGGGCACACTCAACTTATATTAATGCCGCCACCAACACAGGGGACAATACAATACTCATTTTCACCTGAGCGAAGTGAGGAAGTCGTGTGAAGTGCCTTTCCCAAGGGCACAAAATCGGTGGCATCGGGCGGGATTCGAACCCGGGACCTCTTGGGTCTGAGCCGAACACTCTACCCACATAATGTACTGTATGTTCTCCTAACCAGGTGCGACCCTGAGCGTGGTGCTGGGGCTAAACTTCACCCTGTCAGTCATCATCTCTACACCCTGCTGTTTCTCAGTAGGCAAAGCTATCCTACTTGCATGTACTTGAACGTATTTATTTACACAGTGACACGTGTGCCTTTTTCGTACGTCATTGTGCCCATGCAGGTGCGACCCTGAGCGTGGTGCTGGGGCTAAACTTCACCCTGTCCGTCATCATCTCCACCGCCATCGCCGTGTTCTACACCCTGCTGGGCGGGCTGTACTCGGTCGTCTACACGGACGTCATACAACTGTTCTGCATATTCATCGGGCTCGTATGTTTCAAGTTTCAAGTTTATTTATTTTCAAGTTTATTTATTTTACCAGGGCATACCTCAGATCCGTTGATCTGATTTTCAGGTATCCCTGGGCACACATTAAAAATTACATTTACACAAGTTGAACACAACAATATACAAATAATATTACAAACATTTACATGTACAAAACAGTCACAGTATAGGCACATTTCATCTGCAGTCATCTACAGTCCGTTTTTAAAATATGAAGTTGCTGTCAGTTGCCGCTGATCAGCAGCAAGACAGTTCCACAGTACAGGCCCTTGGTAATGCAGGCTGCCCTTGAAGGTTTCCACATGTGAGTTTTATTCTCCTGAAAGTATAGCGCGTTTGCATTCTTACTTCTTCTAACATGTTCCACAGGTAGGCCTTAGGGTCTGTCAGTCCATAGCATTGCCTCGGTCTTGTAACACCCCCTCCTCCTCGAGTCTGTCTAGTGTGCCCAATCTGTATTTGGTCAATATTTCTTGTATGTGGCCTTACACCCTTTTCCTCTGTCCCAGCAAGTAAGATATTGCCTATAGCCTCCTTGTGGCTAGTTGAGATTTCTGCTGAGTAAAGTGTAACGTCTTCAGTCATCCAGAAGATGGAAACATTGATCTTGTGAAACGACAAGAGATACTAACTAAGACACCCACCGTTACATTGGTACGTCTTTTACAAAGAACTTTTGTCACATTGCAGTGGATCTCCATCCCCTTCGCCCTGACGAACCCTTTGGTGTCGGAAATCGGGAGCACCACCGAGACCCGGCTCCTGTACACGCCTGTGAACGCCTCCGTGTACAACAGAACCTTCAACCAGACAGAGACGGCGGGCTGGTACGGGACGTGGGACACCACCTACACCGGCGTCTGGATAGACTACGCACTGCTATTGGTGAGTTTGTGAAGCTATTCCTAGACACAGCCAATGACAACCCTTGACACAGACGGCGGGCTGGTACGGGACGTGGGACACCACCTACACCGGCGTCTGGATAGACTACGCACTGCTATTGGTGATTACTGTTTGTTTTTTGTTTCGTTCCGGTACGGAAGTATTGTTATGAGTGGGTTGTCTGTGGATCTGTGTGTATGTTTGTCCGGACAGTGTAGGTTGACAGCACGTGGGTGGTAGATAGAAGGTTGACGGCAGAACGACAGGTGGTCAAAAGTACAAAGGAACTAGGGTGCCCTTGAGACTATGTAGACAGTACGTGGATGAGGGAAGACTGACAAGCAAAATGACAAGAGGTTGAAAGGTCAGACACAGGAAATGGGCGAACTTGAGGTCACGAAAACCTAAATTATTCCCGGAAATCTGAATCTCATTTTTTTTTTAAATTTCTCTTTGTTCCTTACGCTTGTATTCTAGATGTGCGGCGGGATTCCATGGCAGTGCTACTTCCAGCGTGTCCTGTCCTCCAAGTCGCCTGCGTATGCGCGGTGGTTGTCCGTGACAGCCGGGCTGGGTTGCGTCATCATGTCCGTCCCGTCTATACTGATCGGGGCTATCGGAGCCTCCACAGGTATGGCGATGTCTCGCTCTGGTGTTTCTGATTATGTTTGTGAAATACATTGTTTTAACTCTGTATCTTCTTTCTCTTTTTTTCTCTCAACCAAATGAGGTTAATTTATAATTATTATTTTTGACCCCTTGACTGTCCTCCCAACTCGACCCCCACGAAAAACGGCCGTCATGGCTGAATGGGGCGATATATATTGTACATACGATATAAAATCAAGTATAAATAAAGGCACAAACAAACAAACAAACAAATGGCCTGGACCAGACGGCTGTCACCATGGTAACTGGCAATTCATTTTATGTTTATCTTTTCTTCATCGTGACGACAACAAGAAATCTGAGATTTCTGGCTTCCGGGAAGTACACAATCCTCGGCTCCCTGAATTCCCCCATATACCAACCCCCTTATTCCTGCTGGAACTTGGTCAGATTCTGAGACGATCATGTCTACCCCAATTCCTGTGTCTGACCTTTATGACCTGTCATTCTGCCTGCCAATCTTCCCCACCCATGTGCTGTCGACCTACTGTAAGGTTCGTCCTATTTCATGGCCCTTTGACCTGTCGTTCTGCCTATCAATCTTCCCCACCCATGTGCTGTCAATCTATATACATATACTAGTAAATTGTAGCTACTTTGTAGGAACAGAGATACAAACCCACAGCTCAGCCACCAAAAAAACAACACTAGCACTTATGGGTGTATCCGGGAGTGAAAAAATGAGGCACCTTGATACGAGTACATGTATATGACATTTCTTTCACTTTTCCAGACTGGCCTAAAACAGAGTATGGCAAAGACCCAGCGGTGGAGGGACAAGCTAGCCTGATCCTGCCGCTGGTCCTGCAGTACCTGACTCCGACGTGGGTGTCGTTCTTCGGACTTGGCGCCGTGTCCGCAGCCGTCATGTCCTCGGCTGACTCCGCTGTCCTGGCGTCCGCCTCGCTCTTCGCACGGAACGTCTACAAGCTCCTCTTCAGACAAAAGGTAAAGGCAGTAACTTTGATGCTTTCAAAGTAATTTTCATATTGATCCATCAACTACTATAATGGCCAATAAAGGAATCAGTATATAGAAAATCCGTGTTCCTAGATACAGATACGAGAACTATCATAGAGTGGAACTCGTTGCCACCAAGTATAGCTGGGGCATCATCACTACATTGCTTTAAACAACTCCTGCAGTTATAATTAGATGTGCAAGGATTGGGTGTAACAGGTCCTTCGGTAAAATATAGCTAGCTGCCGCCGCGCCGCGTGCCTGCGAAACTGGTGTGTTACGCCGAAGGGCTGTTATACCGGCTATACAGATACAGAAGCTTGTGTGTTACGCCGAAGGGCTGTTATACCGGCTATACAGATACAGAAGCTGGTGTGTTACGCCAAACGGCTGTTATACCGGCTATACAGATACAGCTAGATGTATATCGTACTTATTCCTTTTACATCACAGGCGTCGGAGACAGAGATAGTGTGGGTGATGCGCGCCGCCACCATTGTCGTGGGAACCATGGCAACGGCTCTGGCGCTGACCGTCCAATCCATATATGGTAAGAGATCGAAAAACCGCTCCGCCCCTATGGCGTTGCCAAGTACAACAATTCGGCACTCTTGTATGGCTGGCAAAGCTGATGTCAACAACCTCTTCTTTTGTAGCAGATTTACTGGCCACCTATTCCTAAAGTCAGGCCTGAATAAAGTGACATTTACATAAATTTTGGCGACGTCCACGTGGCGATCCTAATAGTAGTGTATGGACCAAATTTGCAAAAATTCTAGGAAATTGTACTTTCTACACGCTTGCGACGTGAACATCTACATCTGTTTTACACGGTAGCATCGTTATGGCAGTACCAAGATGGGGAGAGTACAGGATAGTACAGGGTGGTGGAAGGCTGTTCAGTACCAAGATGGGGAGGGTACAGGGTAGTACAGGGTGGTGGAAGGCTGTTCAGTACCAAGATGGGGAGAGTACAGGATAGTACAGGGTGGGGGAAGACTGTTCAGTACCAAGATGGGGAGAGTACAGGATAGTACAGTACCAAGGTGAGGGGGTGCAAGATAAAACAAGGTCATTATATAGCAGAATTCTGAATTTACTGAAACGTACTGAATTTTTCACATGCCAATGCACAACTATGTATACTGATGTCAAACGTCAAAAATAAACAATTGTCGTCGCCATGGCAATATTTTTAGTGCCTTCCTTTTTTTTCTTTATCCCAGGCCTATTTTTACTATGCGGGGACCTAGTGTTCGTCATCCTGTTCCCCCAGCTGGTCTGCGTGATTCATCTAGAATTCACCAACACGTACGGCTCGCTGTGTGGCTACATCGTGGGGATGGTGCTCAGGATATGCGGAGGGGAGAGTCTGCTATCCATCGATCCTGTCATCAAGTACGTAAGGGCCCGGCCACGCACACACGTCGTGCGATCTTCGCAGGATCGCAAGCCGAATGCATTCTTAGGATAATCATGCCTAACGTATTGAGATTCTATGATACCTAAAACATAAAGCTCGTAGGGATCCAAACAGAAGTCTGTGGCGTCCCCCGTCTCTATCAAGGAAGCGTTGTTCAGATCCTGGATTTTCAAGGGGGCATTATGTAACATTTCTTTCGTTAGGTGTCATACTTTGGCCTCCTCTTCCTAAATGGCACTCATTTACAATGGAGTAGGGTTGATTCAACTTTGCAAAGTAAAATGACCAGATAGAGAATTGACTTTTTTGCCACGTTGCACCGTCCTAATATTACATACAGAAATGACCAGAAAATTGACTTTTATTTTGTATCGTTCTATAAATTGTTACATAATGCAGTTTTAACCCCTCAATGCCTTTGTTTCTACAAGGTACCCGTATTATGACGAGAGAGAAGGGCTACAGCTCTTCCCCTTCCGTGCCTTCGCCATGCTGTGCAGCTTCCTCACGATCGTCGCCGTCTCACTCGTGCTCAAACTGCTCTTCGAAGGGGAGAAAATCCCGATGAAGTACGACGTCGCCGACTGCTTCCGAAGCGAGGCCGAGCAGCAACGACGGCGACCCGATCTCTCCCGAGACACGGAGGTCGTACTTCTGCCACTCGGCGACCAATCAGAGGCGGTGTTAGTTAGGGCAGATGAGCCAAATATGAGGAGTAACAATACTCCTAAAGAGCATCCACCACTTCTCAGTGAAGAATGCCTGTAGTCAAATACGTTTTATCCTGATTACATTGCGCTTCTAGCAGCTCTTTCATCAATATTTACGGATTTGTAAAGGAAGCGTAAAGATGTGAAATATGTTTACGTCGTGTATTTAAGCACACTGAAAGGTGACGGAAAGGCGGAATTTGCCTTTCAGTAGTCTTTAAGAAGTCGTAAAGTCTACTGAAATATTTTCTCAACTTTAATACTTCTTTACATATTGCGGAAAGTTTGCTTAAATGTCTGTTTTCGTGCTGTGCTTCTTAGGCCATATAAGCTTGATGACAAACACCTCTATGTAAGGAGAATTGGAAACATCCCGTTGATTTATGAAAATGCGCCTACATGGACCGATTGTTGTAAGGTTGCCTGTTTCCATGCATAGGCTGCAATGACTGGTCTACGAAAGTTAAAGTATCTTGACTATATGGGAATCTAAAATATTTTCAACTTACCACAATAACGGGATCTATATAAGAATATGGGTAATTAATAACGAGAGACATCATTGCATCTTAGTGAAAACACTAACAGTTATACGTGAAGTGAAAATTAAATTTCACGTTAAAAAAAAAATGTTAAAGATCAATATAATCAAATCAAATCAAGTGATGACCATCAGCTTAAGATAATAATAAATGTTTAACAAGAAATCGATGCTTTCAGACCTCCTTCTAGTATATGTATAGTCATTTTTTGCTTCATTTGTTTATTTCGTCTGAGGGCTTCCATAACTAAAGACAACAAAGAGCAACATGAACGAGCAGGAATGTCATTGAAAGGCACCACACGACTTCCGTCAGCAGATCCAACAGCCCAGGGCCCAGCTACCATTAATTTGACTGACTGCGTTAGGATAGATTATGTATTTTTTTCTACACCCTCCAATCAGAGTTATCAACCAAGATTTGAGGTGTTCAAAAACTCGTATTTCCCAAGAACTATCGTAGACTGGAACCCGTTGCCACCGCGCACAGTTGGGGCATCATCACTAGAAAGCAACTCCTGCAATTAAATGTGCAAAGATTGAGTGTAACAAGTCGTTCGGTGTGATAAAGCTTGCTGCCGACACGCCGCGTGCCTGCGAAGCTGGTGTGTTACGCCGAAGGGCGGTTATACATGTACCGGCTATACAGATAAGCAGCTGTTCAGCTTCAAAGTTCCTGGTGGGCGTGAAATCCTGGCTGTTTGCCATTTTGCTGACGCAGACACATCCTGTGGATTTTTCAGAAGTGCAAGTCTTCACAACTCTTTTGTTTCCTTATTGTGTGCACATTTTCTACAACAGGCATATCGTGGGATTCTGCACAATGATTTTGGTATATCTGCTTGTGGTGGTGGTTGCCACTGCACGGTGCCAGGTAGAGGGGTCAGAACATGTACACAACGGCGGCGGTTCGGAAGAGAAATGTGTCTGCAATCCAGTGGTGAATGTGGGCAGCCCAGCTTGCCACTCCGAGGAGGTATGTCAGCCATCTTTGCCTGTGTGTCCTGTGTCTTGGAGTGAATTGATAAACATGTTTATCATTTCCATTATTTCACACATTAAATTACAACGTCATTATTCAATTGTGTGGTCGCGTGGCCTAGCGGCAGCGTGTTGGCTCAGAACCCAGAGGCTCTGAGTTCTAACCCTGCCCATGCCACCAATCTTGTATAAAATAATCGGCATAAAATAAGTTGAAAAAACTTGAGTTTGTCGCCATCACGTCTTGTGATTGATGTTGGAATAGAAAAAAAATCATATTGCAGTACTAGGGTCATCCATCACGTGTTTCCAAGTACTCAATCCGTGTTTTTAAATAAATGTACGGTTCTTAGTGGCAAATGTGTAGATCTGGGCATATCGGCGACACCAAATCCGTCTGTGTCCTCTTCAGTGTTTTGGCACAGTATCAACGATTAGCCGAAAGGTCTGGTGGGTGTCACTTCACGGTACAGAAAAGAACGTGGTGTGAAGTGCCTTTTCCATGTCGGTTACCTACAAATTTCCTTCATGCGAACTCAAGATCTAGACAGCCCAGACTTGTGTTGACGTAGATGCTTATGATGAGAACACAAGCTATCAACAATGAGATGCATGCGCAGTACGATTCATTATGTTTAGGTTAAGACCCCTTCAGAGACGTAAACAAATACGTCTGGATAAGTATAAAGCAAGGTCTGACGCAAATTGTTTACTTCTCTAGGATCTTCACTTTGACACTGGGTATGCGACCTCCTTATTCATGCCAAATTTCTGACAATTACAGCAGGTTGCAGACGTTCAAACTGTGCTGATAGCTCAACAGGCACAGATCACACGACTTCAAAACGACTCCCAAAGTGCTGAGGTAAGGTCTCCTTAATGATTATTGTTGCAAATGAACATACAAAAAAGGGGGATATATCTAGCTCTAGCTATGACTGGCCCATTGAAAGCTGCCCAATAGTTGTAACATATAATACATGCATATAACATAAAGTCAAACATTTAGGACTTTATTTAATTACAGAAAGCATTCCCAGATGAAATCCTTTGCTTTCTGAATATTCCCACATGTCGAATGCTGCCAAAGCCACTTCCTGAGTCTGACCTTCTGTCATTCTACCAATCAATCCAGCACCCACATGCTGCCAACTTACCGTCTAGAGAAGCAAACCTCAGCCACCCAGCAATACTACTGTACCCAGAAGTAAATATTATGTGTTTATCTGTTATTCGGACTGTGTTTCCGAGCTATGGGACTGACTGAATGAAAGAATGAATGAATGGACTGCTTTTTTTTCAGATTCACCTGTTGAACCTATTAGCTGAACAGAAGAAGATCACAGACAGTCTGAAGAACCGAGTTGCTCAGCTTGAGGAGAGGATCAGGACCACTGGTATCGTTTCTGTACTTCGTCGCATTTCTTGTGTGTTGCTCTGCTTCAAGTATAAAACTTTCAATTTCATATAACTACATTTTTCTACAGTGAACAAAGAGCAAAGGCAGGGATAGTTTCAAGGTATTAAACAAAGAGTTTTTCTGATGGACACAACCATTTATTTCTGGCAAAATTGAACCGTCTGACTCGACGAAATTTTTGACTAAGTCGGTTACTGGCCTAATCGCTAAGGACAGTGACTTAACGAACAATGGGTCGAAGGTTGTTAGAAGTCGATATCAATCAACCCGAATATCCCATCACTGACGTCACATGTTTTGTGAGATTGGGTCAGATAGCTGAAGACTGATTCAGTAAAAAAATTCTGACGAGTCCATATTTTGAGTTGAAGGATAGTTCAATTGTTTTATGGTGCTTTTTACCGACTGATATGAACTAAATAATGCTACAACTTATATTTAGTATTCTTATCGCAACAGACGGTGCCGTAACTTGTCCAGCACGTTACTGGCTGTTCAACGGGAACTGTTACCGCTTCTCCATCGACCAGAAACCGTACAACGAGTCACAAGCGATCTGTCACGAAGAAGGTGGCCATCTAGCAACAGCGAAGAACAACGAGACCCACAACTTCCTGGCCAATCACGTGAGAAATACAACTAAACAAAACACCTGGATTGGACTGAGTGACCTGGAGAATGAAGGGCTCTGGGTTTGGGACGACGGCACTTTGTTGGTTGGTGAAGGAATCTGGGGAACAAACGAGCCAAACGGTGGCACAAGGGAAAACTGTGCTCACATCTACCCATCTAAGGACTACCGGTGGAACGACAGTACATGCCCCAGCTCTTACTACTACATCTGTGAAATCCGTGGCTAGACCATAGCTACTATAGTACTTCATGTACCTGTAGACAACTGAAGACAACAGTGTTTTGACATTTTTCTCTTAAGCACTATCCATAGATTCACAAGATGAGAAAATAAGGTTTATAATGGCCCCCTGCCTTTATGCACAATGGCATGGCACTTGGCACAACAATATTTATTATGCATGTATGACACAGTTAACACATATATTGGCATTTAATCTAGTCAAGTATCATATGTAAAACGTTCTGGAGTCTTGCTAAATTAGCCTAATATTGATAAGGCTTGTGTTGCCTGCATTGACTGTCGTTTGAAAATAGAGCTCACTGGTCTATAGGGTATATGCCTGGCAAGATTGTTCAGGTAAAGTGGTCAATCTCGAAATGCTTTATAAAAATTCTAATGTCCTCGATACTTTTACTTTTTTTATAGACGTAAGTCTTCTAATGTCTTCTAAGTCTTCTAATTTCACCACTGGATTCCATAAGGCACCAGAGATTCATATAGCAGGCAAGGCAAGTGAGGTGACCTATGGGTAACCTACAAAATACAGCGTTATCGCCGCGCGAAAAAATACCTTGCGGGCATGTAAGTGACGTAGGCTTTACCTGGCCAGAGCTGCACAAACTGAAAAGGTATGCAAATTTAAATTTCAAGGATTGCATAAAGAATTCAGAACATGTACGTGCTCTCACAACCCTCGGGCAGAATCTACACGGAACTAGACCTACTAAGTTACACTTCCTTGAAGTGTCTTGAAAAATAAGGTTGTTGTACAAGAGCATAGTCTAGCAGAATTCCTTGCAATGTCTCTGATCTATATGCTTCTGGTACTTTTTGCCGTGGAGTGTAAGGGGCAACCAGCAGTCGGTTGCCACGGCTCGGCAGACAAGTGGGTGTGCAGTCCAGTCGCAAACGTTGGGCACGGGGTATGTAGTTAAAATTTGTTTTCTTTGGCCGTCTTGTAATTTCTTCGTGATCGACAGTTACAAGTTTCTACAACCTCAGAAGCTGTTAAAGGTCATTGAACGGCTCTTGTACGACATTTCACTGGACTAGAAGTGTTATTTCACTGGATTAGAAGCATTATACATGCTTATTGATCAAATGTTGACTTCGTAACCTTTTCGGTCCTGTTAATTACTTCCCTTGGTAGAATGTGAATTTCTGGAGAAACGAAGCATACTGTCGGCGGAAGCCGCGGCCTTGTGCTGATTCCTTATCAAAAATTCTGGCTTTCGTTGGTCCTAAAAGTGGCGTCACATAAAACAAAAATTCAGTCTGCCGACGAGCCTGGGACTCAAATTTTTCGAAAGTACAACCAGTGTCCTCAGAGGCTTGATATTTTCAAGCCTGGTCACCGATCCCCGTCACATTTGATAGGGTAGGATTCCTGGAGAAAAAAAAAAAACTACAATCGACTCTCTAGCGATTTTGCAATTCGGCGACTTTTTAATATTTAGCAAATTCCTTACGACGTTCGTCGACAGTGTATAACACCATTTCCGGGTGCGCCATTTTTGAACTTACTACGTATGAGGAAGAAAAGACTACAGTAATGTCGGCCTGATTGCGTTCTCATGCCGCCATGCCTTTGCGACGCATGTTAAAAACAGCAAAAATCGTAATAATGCCAGGAACATGCATATTCTTATTTTTTTAGTGCTGATGATACCCATAAACATATGCTAAATTGAAAATCCCCAAATCTGAAATTTTGACGTTGAGAGACACACCCATATGAAAGATTTCCGGGACAGGTCGCAAACATTATGAACACACGTCGCAAATATCCCACCAAGGTTAGCCTCTACCAGGCTGGAAAGAAGAGAAATTGGCCAAATAGTCAGATGATATGCCAGGGGAGTTGGTCCACTCGCGGAGCGGCAAACCGTTCAAGCTTACCGCGGACCAATTCTCCTGGCATGCTGTATCATCCTATTTGGCCAATTTCTACACTTTCCAGCCGCCTCTCGAAGCCTGGTAGAGGCTATAGCTACTCGAGGTCCCCATTGCAGACTGCGATGCTGCTTTAAACTAACCCATGTCTTGTTTCCGGAAATTACAGCAACTTGCTGATATCCAGGCCATGCTGATCGCCCAACAGGTGCAGATCATGCGACTCCAGAAGGACTCGGAAAGTTGTACATGTGACTCAGAGGTTAACGTCCTTAATTTGTCTCGTCAAGCTTAACGTTTACGGAATCTTTGCTGACATGACTGCCTATCTGACAAGTGCACGTGTACTGAATATGAAATGCAACCTAAGTGGTTGGTGCAGAATGATCTCTGTTAATTGTATTTTGTTTTGTGGCGCTGTTAGAATAAGTTTAGAAACTTGAGTACAGCACCACACGGTTCGCTATTGCTATGTGTTGATGAATAAATTATCTACTTGTGTGGGGGTGCAAGGTGCTTTAAAGATAACATGAAATATACTGTATAACATGAAAAGACCGAATAAATGATATGTGTCTGTCTGGACAAAGTAGGTTGACAGCATGTGGGTTGGGAGAGATTGACAGGCAAAATGACAGGTCAAGAGGAGGAAATGGGGGTAAACTTGAGAGTAGGTTGATAACACATAGGTGGGGAAGAAAGACAAGCACAATAAAGGTCAAAACGTCACAGGAAATGAGATAAAACTGCAATTCAAAAGTAAAAAATGTGACATGCATCCTACAAGTCTGAAACCTATGGTTTCTTGTTTTTCTTTTTATATATTCCAACATGCAATCACAAGACGTGGTGATGGCACACTCAACTTATATTAATGCCGCCACTTGTTATAATTGGATATGAAGTAGGAACGACTTATTTTGCAGATCAGTCGCCTGTCTGATCTATTGGCTGAACAGAGGAACATCACAGAAAATCTGAAGGAGCGAGTCACACAGCTTGAGGAGATCACAGGTATAAAAATTTCATATACATCTAAGCATTTTGCTGTGTGTCATCGAACGTAGAGGTGGACGAAATACTTAGTGAAGGGTCTATAAGGCTTGTGTAAATTTATATATGATGACATGGAAAGAAGTATTCAGAGGTCATCTTGAAATACCAGTTCGGTTCCAAATTCGGAAAGTTTTCAATGTGTTGAGTTGGAAATAGCCTGTCTGAACCTCGCTTTTCACCGGCTCCCTAGTTATGTAGGGAGCCCCCCCAGAGCTTGGGTTTAACAGGCTAAGTTGGAACAAACTGCGACAAAACAACAAAGGGTAATACTAGTAATATTTTCTCTTAACCCACCAGTCTCTTGCCCTGCTGGATACCAAAAGTTTAACAGGGCCTGTTACCGGTTCTCCACTGACCGCAAACCGTACAGCGAGGCACGGGATACTTGTCGTGGAGAGGGCGGTATCCTAGCAACAGCAAAGGATGAGGAGACCCACAACTTCCTGGCCAATCACGTGAGAGCTACAACTCAACAACACACCTGGATTGGACTGACTGACCTGGTGACTGAGGAACTGTGGGTTTGGGACGACGGCACCTTGCTTCTTGGTCAAGGGATCTGGGGAACCGATGAACCAAACGGTGGCACAGTCGAAAACTGTGCTCACATCTACCCAATTAAGGACTACCGCTGGAACGACAGTAGATGTCCCAGCTCTTACTACTACATCTGTGAAATCCGTGGCTAGGCCATAGCTACTTCTAGTATATAGCACTACCTATAGACTACATGTACAACTGAAAACAACAGTGTTGTGACAACTTGTAACGAATATGGCAAGGACTTTTGGGACAAATCTTGCTAGTAGCAATACATAGTAGCAAGCCCACGTAATTGTACTGTAGGCCTGTAGAATATAGCTACTATAATACTACAAGTACCTGTAGACAACTGAAGACAACAGTGTTGTGACAACTTGTAACGAAAATGGCACAAGCGTTTGGCACAAGTCTCACCTGAGTGTATATAATCTACAATATAGATTGTGTAGTAATATAGTAGCAAACCCACGTAATTTTACTCTGACATATTTCATACAATGTATTTTTCTCTTCAAGCGCTATCCATGGATTCACAAGATGAGAAAATAAGGTTTATTTCATAATGGCCCCCTGCCTTTATGTTCCATGGCACAACAGCATTTACATTTATGATACACGTATGACACAGTTAACATATACATGTATTGGCATTAAATCTTGCCAAGTATCATATATAAAAAAGTTCTGGTGTATGAAATAATCATACCTTGAAGTCTGTCTTCATTGGTAGATTTACCCTAAGGCTTGTGTTGCCTGCATTGACTGTTTCTTGAAAATAGAACTGACTGGTTTATAGTGTTTATGCCTAGCAAGATTGTTTGGGTAAATTGTGGTCTCGTGGTCAATCTCAATGCTTCTAAAAATCTCATGTTCTTAATACATGTGTCTTTTGCCTTATTTACAGACGTAACTCCTGTACTTGACATTACTCACCAACAATAAAGTCACTGTACATTCCTTTAATTTTGTTGTGGTCATTTATCGTGGTAGGAGAAAAAAAGGGTTTTCACAGTGGTTGAAACAATTGTGAAGTACAGTTGTAATACAACTTGCAATGGCGAAGTCACTCCGAACACAAAAAAAACATGAAAAAAAACATGAAAATGTCTCTCTTTACAGTATAGTACTTGACTCTATCTTGTGTGCTCCTCAACCAACCAAACCCCAGCCTATAGTCTGTAGTCACAAAAAAAGCAGTATTCTTGTCTTCTCTCAGTAATGTCTTGCTGCCATGTACGTGACGTAGGCTTTACCTGATAGCTGACTGGAGCTGCGCAACGTGAAAAGGTATCACATGTCAGGGACATGGATCGTTGGCTAAAGAAAATTCAAAACAACAGGGTATACGTACCCACAACCGTCGGGTAGTACTAGAGATCTACACGAAGCTAGCCTACTTCCTTGAAGTGTCTTGAAAAGTAAGTGTACTGTCTAGCAGGCTTCCAACAATGTCTCTGATCTATATGCTTCTGGTACTTTTTGCCGTGGAGTGTAAGGGACAACCAACACTTGATTACCGTGGACCTGACGAGAAGTGTGTCTGCAGCCCAGTTGTGAACGTTGGGACCCAGACATGCAACTCCGACGGGGTATGTATTTTTTGTTTGTTTGGCCGTCTTGTAATTTCTTCATGATTGACAGTTATAAGTATCTACAAGCTGTAAGCCTGTAAAGAGTCTTTGTACGGCTTTACGACATTTCACGAGGAAGAAAAGCTATTAATACGTTGAAGCTAACGTTACATGAAAATTTAAGGTAAATTTTTTGAAAGCATGGTTAGACTCTGGTGATTTTTTATGAATTCGTTTCCGGGTGCGCCATTTTCGCGCATTGCGTATGAGGAAGTAGCCTGGTATCCAGTCTCTGTCAACCCATGTCTTGTTTCTGGAAATTACAGCAACTAGAGGACATCCAGGCGATGCTGATCGCTCAACAGGTGCAGATTTCACGGCTTCAGAACGACTCGGATAGTTCTGAGGTACCGTTTTACACTTGAATTGCGCACGCACACATAAGTGGTGGGTACAGAATAGTCTATCACTATTGTAGAAGCTAGTAAGACGCTTTTAAGATAGGATCCAATATATCTGATTCATCAGAAGACGGAACAAATGAGCAGAAAAAACGAAAGTCCCCTGCCGTCAGCTATAACCATATCCCTGCCATTACTTCCGGAACGTCAGTATTGTTTTGGTTGGCTGAGCTGTGAGTTCATGTGTCTGTTTGTCTGGACAAAGTACCGGTAGGTTGATAGCACGTGGGTGGGAAAGACAAGCTTAAGCATAAAGGTCAAAACATCAGACATTTTGAAGGCAGAACGATTGGAATTATTTTTCAGATCAGTCGCCTGTCTCGTCTATTGGCTGAACAGAGGAACATCACTGAAAATCTGAAGAAGCGAGTCGCACAGCTTGAGGAGAGCATTAGCAACACAAGTAGTAATATGTCCGACGGACATATTACTACTAACACAGGTATTTTTTGCGACCTTTATTTAGCCTTGAAAGATTACACTTCGGCCGTGGTCGCTTTTCAAGTGTTCAAGGTGGGAGAGACCAGGGGTCCCGATAACACAATAGCTACAAGATTAACGTATTGCAATTTCATTATGGGAGAGTACGTACTTTCAGAACTTACACTAGTTACATCATCGTCTCTATCTTATGTCCAGTCCTGATCAATTCCGTAGTGGATTATTGCAGCATGTTCTTAAATGCTGCCACCAAGGGTATCAAATTTTATTGACAGTTACGTCCAAGCATTTTGTTGCGTCACAGAATGTAGTGGTGGATAAAATACTTAAGTGACGATAGAAAAAAAGTTTGATTGAGAAACAAAGCTACAAGGCTTGTGTAATGATGGCATAGAAAAATATTCAGAGGTCATCTTGAAATACATGTTCGGTTACAAATTCGTAAAGTTTTCAATTTGTTATGTTGAAACTAACTGCAACAAAACAACAAAGAGTACTGGGTAATACTAGTAATATTTTCTCTTAACACAACAGAACCAGTCTCTTGCCCTGCTGACTACCAGAAGTTTAACAGGACCTGTTACCGGTTCTCAACTGACAAGAAACCGTACAGCGAGGCACGGGATACTTGTCATGGAGAGGGCGGTATCCTAGCAACAGTGAAGGATGAGGATACCCACAACTTCCTGGCCAATCACGTGAGCTCTACAACTCATCGAAACACCTGGATCGGACTGAGTGACCTGGCGACTGAGGGACTGTGGGTTTGGGACGACGGCACCTTGCTTCTTGGTCAAGGAATCTGGGGAACAGGTGAACCAAACGGTGGCAGAGGGGAAAACTGTGCTCACATCTTCCCATCTAAGAACTACCGCTGGAATGACGGTCCATGTTCCAGGTCTTACAACTACATCTGTGAAATCCGTGGCTAGACCATAGCTACTATACAGTGTTGTGACAAATTACATGTAACAAATACGGCATGGGCTTTTGGCACAAATGTCACCTGTACAGTCTGCCATAGACTGTGTAGTAATATAGTAGCAATATAGTAGCAATATTTCAATAAAGTAGTAATATTGTAGCAAACCCACAAAACTGACATATTGTACAATATATTTTACTCTCAAGCACTATCCATAGATTCACAAGATGAGAAAATAAGGTTTATTTCATAATGGCCCCCTGCCTTTATGTTCCATGGCACAACAGCATTTACATGTACTAGTATGCTACATGTATGACACAGTTAACATGTAATGGCAGTAAATCTAGCCAAGTATCATATATAAAAAAAGTTCTGGTGTATGAAATGGTTATACCTTATTGTAGTTTGAACTCTGCCTTGGTAAATTTAGCCTAATAAGGCTTTTGTTGCCTGCACTGACTGTCTCTTGAAAATAGAACTGACTGGTTTATAGGGTTTATTCCTGGCAAGATTGTTTGGGTAAAATGCCTCTTGTGGTCAATCTCAAGATGCTTTAAAAATCTCATGTTCTTGATACATGTACTTTTGTCCCTTTTTTACAGACGTAACTCCTGTACTTGACATTACTGACTATTAGTAAAATCACTGTAGATGTTTTTAATTTTGTGTTGGTTATATTTCATGGAAGGAGGGAAAAATGTTTTGACCAATGTTTTGAATTTGCTGTTGAAACAATTCTGTAGTACAGATTTCTATAGTAAAATTTTGTAGTACATTTTGTACTAGTAATACATTTGCAGTTGAGAGTTCGCAAAAATAAAACCCCTGTGAAAGTTCCCTCTGCATTTACAGTATAGTACTGGACTCTTTAATATCTTGTGTGCTCCCCAAATCACAAAACCCCAGCCTATAGTCTCTACTCTCTAGTCACAAAAAAAAGCAGCATTTCCACACTATGTGGTAAATGTGATGGTCTTCACGCATGGCAAGAAGCAAAAGGCCTTCTGGCTCAAGCCTTTGGCCTGGTGTTCACGTAGACAAAAAGTGTGATGAGCAGGACAATAGCTCCGAGCACTGGTAGCACAATTGTCACCACCTGTGGAATGTAAAAAACATACTTGACAAAATGTTCTTTCATTTTGAAGAAAACACACATGTATAGAAAACTAGAAAGTAAAGGTTTGATTTTGATTTAATTGAAATCGCAACAGTGCAATACACGTGGAACAGAGGCAGACAATACTCATTTTCACTTGAGTCTAGTGGGGAAATTCGTGTAAAGCGCCTTTCCCAAGGGCACAAGATCAGTGGCATGTCAGGACTCGAACCCGAGACCTCTTGATTCCGAGTCGCGCACTCTTCCGTTGCGCCACACAACCACACCTAAACGTAAAGGTTTCACAAAGCAGATACATTTTATACAAATAAAATTTGGTTGCCCGGGGCAACAGGGCAACCAGGTATTTTGCATGCTGATACACCAGTCTATTTACCTGATTCCTGGCCTCGTGGAATGTTTGTTTCCTCTCCTCTTTGTCCCTCCGGGTTTCTTTCTTTGCTTTTCCCTTCAGCTGCCTCATTCTTTATTATTCCTATCCTGCACAGTAATCCTGCAATGGGGAAAAATTATACACAAACTAGAAAGGCCAATATTTGCTTTGGAGCAAATACAGCGATGGGTTCACCACATTTTACGACATGGCAGGGAAAGAATGGGAAACACAAGGGAAAACAATGATTTACATTGATATAACTATAATATGAAGTAAAATACAACTAAAACAACAGTTGGATAGCTATTCCCTACTTTATTGGTTAGGATTTTTAATTGCATAATGCAAACTGTTGATTTTCAAAATAAAAAAAAAACGTCCATGCCCGGCATTCCAATGCTGGAGCAGGAAAGCTTGAAATACCTACCAAAACACTTGAATACAGACATACTGTCAGTATGGAAATGCTTCTGTGCAAGTGTTAATCAAGTTAAATCCCAACAGCCAATCAGCAAGAAGTATAGAGGAAAGCTGCATGCCTATTGGTTGATGCCCTGCATTCCATTCTGATGACTCATGCCCAAACGTGGTAAACAAGGCAGACTAACACAGTAATACATTTGCTATAACACAGCCAAAAAACTCAAATAAAACCATTCTAAAAGCCTGTATCACAATAATTTAAAAAACGCCTAGGGGTATTTGCCCACTGTACCTCCATACCAAATTTCAGGACCTTAGGCCCTAAAATGAAGAAGCTGAATCCATTTAAAGATATGGCAGGAGGAGGAGGAGGAGGAGAAGGAGAAGGAGAAGAAACATCAGAAAAAGCAATATGGTTTCACCACACCACTTCGTGGTGTGGTGAACCCATAATTAAAGAAAAAGGACAAAAAAGAACAAAAACAACAACAACCCAAGGTGGCAGTATTGGATACTGTCTGGCAAATGACTATTGCCTGGCAAATTTGATATTGTCTGCAACCACTAAAAGATCTGCTTGGAGATACGCATATGTATCCAGATTGGGTCATATACTATATAATATATACAAAAGCCGCTATACAAAATGTAGCTTGCAGAGGAAGACTGAGTCAGTTGAAAATTCAAGTGGGTCCAATTTTCTTCAGCTGAAGAACAGTTAAACTTTTCCACATAGATATAAATGTAATGTTATGTTAGATCATAGCCATTACAGTAATGTCACCTGTGACTCACTATATTAATATGTGAGTTGTCACCCTTTTGGATAAATCAATTTCTTTGCTGTCTTGCAAAGTTGCTCTGTCAGCACATCATGGTCTGGAAATATGGAAACAAAATGAAAATACAGTGAGATAACTGGATATGTAGTTCTTAACTTCCTATAACATTTCAAATTATAGTTACAGTGATTAGCATATTATAACACAAATAATATAAATGTGAAAGTCAGTAACTGCTTGCATACAAAATAGGAATAAAGAAAAGCACAATATGTGCATATCTACATGTTGGTATGCGATTTGGGGGAAATATGTTTGGGGGGAAATTGACATAACATTTACTGCTATAAACTTACCCAATTCATATGTCATGTAGTATGTAACATGTTGAATACATGTATGCTACTTTACACATTGGTTCCATATTGGCAAGCATTAGTAGGCTCTGTATGTACAAAACAATATCATTTCTACGCCCTCATATAACAGAATTTACAAACCATATGCTAACATGGCTAAAACCAAGGCTAAAGTTTCATATTGCTCAGCCCCCCTCCCTATTGCTAAGTGTATGTCGTTTGTTTTTCTAGACTTAAAGAACTTGTGAACCTAATTTGCTTCATAATGAGAATCTTTATGCAGTCAATAACAGCTGGACAACCTTTCTGTGACACATGTTACGTTCATTTGTGAAAACTAACTTGTGAAACTCACCAAGTCTTCCCCAAACTTGCTGACGACAAAATTTGTCTGCACTGCGCACAGAATAGTGGGAAATACTGCCGTAAACCGGTCGAAATAAACAACAACAAATTCAGCAATCCGAGGCGAAAAAATGCCCTATTTGTCTCAAGTTTCCTCAGTTTTCAAACAAATCATACCACATAACATTCGTAACACATGTATACTTCTTAAGGTTATAGTAAAAATGAACCTACTCAGATGTTTAGGCCCAAAGGACATTTACGACTGAAAAATGTCGTAAAATCAAAAGCGGGTGTTTTGAAACGCCATTTTGAAACCAACGTTTTCGTTACAACAATCCGCGACGAAAATGGACGTTGTTTTGTGAATTTCTCTATCAAATGTCAATTATTTTATCTCCTGAGTATGCCGAGAACGGGAAAGATTGCGGTTTTATAAGGTAAGATCACAGAGAAGCTTACATAATTTTACTGTCACTTCAGTTATCGAAGATATGGTAAAACCGCCCCCCTCCATGTTGTCAAATGAGCTTCGATTATCCAACGTTAAAGGTGACGATAGGACATATGTGTCTTTTTAGAGGAAGTAGAATCCTGTCAATAAGGATAATCCTGTCAATAGTGCATTTTTTTCTGTTATTGACAGGATCGTCCTGTCAATAGTGCAGTTTGTTCTGTTGTGTTATTGACAGGATGATCCTGTCAAAATTTATAGCGCAAATTTTTCCACTATTGACAGGATCATCCTAGATCAATAGCCTCAGGTAAAAATTCTTGTGAAAGTTACAATATGTACTAGTAATATTTAATATAGTTAGTAGCTGTTAGTAGCTATAAATTGCTATAGTACATATGTAACGTTATATTTACTGTTTCCCCTTCAGTATAGGTGAGAATACTAAGACCTGCAGACATGCAACAGTCCAAGGTGAAGCGTAAAGTAGCCCGACGGCTGCTGAGGCTCAGTCCAAATGAGGAGGCCAGACTGATACAGGAGGAAAAGGAGAGAAGGAGGAAACTTAGGCTGCAACAGGTACAGTACTTAGGAAAAACAATCATTCATACTGGTGGTAATTGTTTGTTTGTTTGTTTATTGTTAAGCACTCACAAAAAAACAATATGTAGTTCTGAACATCAGTTACGGGTACTCACCGCCACCTACTCTCCAAGCAGAGGTTGTGGGGAATGATCGTTACCTTTTTATATATGGCCGTTTTTTTTGTCCTGATCCCCACCCGTCGGTGGCCGCGGAGCTTCTCTGGCTAATGGATACTGCCTGGCCAATTTGATACTGTCTTTTTGCCACAGAGAGGGATCTGCTTGGAGATTAACCGCAACCCTGCTTTGGGTGGCGGACAGGAAGTGGCGCCCCTGCCTATTGAGGAGCTGCAGACCACAACACATATACCACAACATATATATACATTTACATATACATTTATATTATACATTTGCGACCACCCCTATCAAAAACCCCTACCCCCACCGTGCTGGAGCCCTCAAACTAGTGAGGTTAGCGCGTAAAGGGAAGAAGAAGAAATAAAATTAAATATAACAATTGAGAGTTAAGTAGACATGCATGGGAGGGCCGGAAACCTGGATAGCCTGGGTGCCATCCTATTTGTAACAGCAACTTCAAATCTTTCGGGGTTGCAGTTGCTGGTACACAAACAGATGGCAACCAGGCTACCGGCTATGTTTGTTCTGTGACCAAATCTTAACCCATTTGTAACGTTTACTTCTGGGTATGAAAGTATTGTTTTTGGTGGATGAACTGTGGGTTCGTGTGTCTGGTAACTGGACAGAGTAGGTTGACAGCACATGGATGGGCGAAAGATTGAACAGGCAGAATGACATGAAGTCAAAGGTCTAGATCATAAGCAAGTAACAACCTTTTCAACTGTGGCATACTAGTAGTAATAAGGACTTTTCCACTTCTGTATATGTTTGGAAGCTTGAATTGTTGTCTTGTTTGCAAAACTTTTCATCATTGATTTTTAAGGTTCGAGAGCAGGAGAAGGCATTTGCTAGTCAGGTGAGGAAAGACGTCAAGGATAGAAAGGAACAGCAGATCAGCAAGATAGCAGCAGAACTCAAGGTTTGTTACTCCTGCACAGTCATCATTTTTACCCATAAAGAGCCCTTAATTACACATGTACAGTTACATTACAAGTATTTCCCTGTATACACACAGTATGCCTAGGTATGACTAGGTTGTCATTTATTAATTGCAATCAATCAATGGCTATTACATGTAATACTGTGTGTGTGTGTGTACTTATCAAATTTGTTCAGTTCAATGTAAATTGGGTTTTATTACTAAGTAATATTTTAAACTCTATGATCATTTAACCACATGATACAATGACTAATGTACCTGAATAAATTGTCTCTGCAGGAAGAATGGCAACAGGAACAACAGGAGAAACAGAAGTCCCTACAGAACCTGTATGACAGCAGTGTCAAGAAAGTGGGGCAAGCACACCAGGAGGCCAAAGAAAATGTAAGAATTGTTTTTGGTGGCTGAGACAGAGTGGGTTGACAGCATGTGTGTAGAGATGAATGACAAGTGGTCATATCAGACACAGGAAATGGGCCTCCAATACTTCTGGAAATGTGTGAAATTTATTTTTTTAGAAATCCACAACACATGCAAAAAGGGACTGTTTTACAACATACTTTATTATAAGACTCCAGTCTTCTTCAGATATTTGTCTCATCCTTACCTCTTCCCTCATCATGACCACAGTGAAAAGTGGCCAATTTTTAAAGAATGGTTCAAACACGTACATGATGTCTTAAAAAGTGATGTCTTGATACTATCCTTACCATTTAGGTGCCAGACTATGACCTTAGGTTTGCCATGGCTGTGGAGGACCAGAGGAAGGCAGATGAGAGACATGTGAAAGCTGTCAGGGCTTTACGGGTGCTCAGGGAACAGAAGGAGCAACAAGAGAACGCTCACATTGTCGCACGGTATGATATCTATGATCACCCTCCTTATGTAAATAAAGCCATACCAATTTGATTTGGTTGATTCTCAGATTTTAGCAGAATATCAATTAAGCAGGCAGCTAAAAAAAAAAGAAAAGAAAAACAGGTTTATGCATCCTGTGAGAGACCCAAATGCTACATTTTGTAGCATAGGAGCTATGAAGTCAACACACTATAGGCTGGTTTATGATTCAAATGATGATTATTAATCATCAGTTGAATTTTAAAAGAAGGAACATATTTCTAGTTCAATGCCGAGAAGTGGTCGTATAGGCCCTGCATTGAACCACTTCGTTTAAAAAAAAATTAAAGGTCCAAGCTGAGGTACATTGTAGCACAAAAGTGCAGTACCGGTATCATCTTTGCTAAGGTACAGCCACTTCTATTTTTTTGAGCACATTCTGTTAAACTTTCATGTCTTATAGGAAAGCAGCCCTTGAGGAGGAGAAGGAGCGAGCGGCTCACATCGCCAGCCTCCCCCCTCCCAAACCTGATCCTTTACAGGTATGTCCTGGTCACATATAAAACAGTTTCATACTACATAAGTACAGTTACTAGTAGAGAAATAAGCCTGGATGTCTACCAGCACCTAACCTGCACTGGTCTTTGTACCAGGTTTATATATACATGTACGTGTACATGTAGGTGTATGTGGATTTTATTTGCTCAATGGTAGGTCTGTAGCTACCATATGTTGTTTTTGTACAGGACATAGACCTGAAGCAGCTTGGTCGTCCTGTGAGGTTTACAGATGCAGACGCCCTCTCCACAACACACTTCCACATGCCAACTGGGTATGCAGAGAAGGCTGAGGAACAGGAACAGGTAGGTAGAAATTCCAAAACATCAACTCTTATCATAGTGTATTTATACATGTACACTTGGAAATTATATAATGATATATTTGTCATGAAACACCAAAATACCTCCCAGAAGTTTTAAATCTCTGATTTCTTGTCGCTATTTATTTTGATTACAAAGATGTTTTGTCACGCGGTGTAGTGTCAACTGTCATACACAATGACATGTTGTATTTGTACATTGTTTGCCGATGCCATACACATATAATATATTCTGATACATGTATTTTTGACCAGGGCGATGCGAAAACAGCAGCAGTTGAGGAGTTTGAGAGATTACAGGACCTGGAAGACCAGGAGAAAAGAGTGAAACACGAACAGACCGAGAAAGCACGGCTCAGACATAAACATGCTCTCCATCGTGTGAGACTGGACAAGGTAGGATGCTAGGAATGGTTGCTTTGTTGATTGCATAATCTAGCGAATAAACTACATGAGCCATTTTGCTTTTCAACTCCTCAAGGATGTTTAGGTCTTCTGGAGTAAGTTGTGTGGCATTCTGTGCAGACAACTCTATGTATAACTGGCAGTCATTGGCAAATAGCCTCACAATTGAAGCAAGTTTATGTACAATAGGAAGAATGGTCCCAGGAAGGTTCCTTGTGGAACCCCCAATGTTACTTGAGTATGTGAATGTATTAATATTATTTTGTAACCACGAAGAAGGAAGCTCTGGTGGTTTGGCCACCTAACACGGCACACCAGCCTGGCAAAGACCATCCTCCAGGCTGAGGGTACCCTCAAGGTATAGGTATCATTGTTTTTTATCACAAATTGGTCTGTTTTTCAAATTGCTGTCCAGGATCATGAACAGCTGCTGCATGACCTCAGTGACCTTCAGCGACAGGACCGCCAGCATCGACGTCAGGTCATCGCCAGCATGCCGGTCAGTTGAAATGATTCAAATCATGCTATATACTTTTGACAGATGTGTTCAACGATACACCCAACAAAATGTTAGCTACTCTGGGGAGGTACACTCTGTCTATTCATCAACCCAGTGTTCTCGATTTCTCTTGTCACATGGCTTGATGTTGATTATAACGTGGCAAGAGACAGTCTTAAACAGGCTTAATATGTGGAGTGGTTTGTTGAACTTAAAGTATCAGAGATGTTTTTCATGAAAACCTTATATAGAAGTTGCTGTTAATGCCAGCAAGAAAGGTCTAAGCAGAAATGAAGAAGAAGAAAGTTACAGTGACGACTTTCTTACAGGCCAACCTGTTCCGGCCCCCCCACCAACGGTTGGAGTTGAAGGAAGAAGGGCAGCACGACATGGAGCAAGCTTTTGAAGACATGTACATGGCACAAACTGGTAGGAGCCATCTTCTACAATTATCTCTGCAAGGAGACAATAAAAAAGCAATGGAAACTAATTATTTATGCCAGTAGGGCAAGAAAGAATGCCTGCAATTTATGACAGCAAAATGAAGCACAGTATATAATGATGCAGCACTTTGCATGCTCACAGTATAGCACAGCACAAAGTCAAGAAGCACAGGACAGCACAACATACCCTAGCACAGCAGTGCATAGGATAGCACAGAATAGCATAGGATAGTACAGAACAACATAGGATAGCACAATGCAATAGAACACAACAGTGTCAGATTGCAACACAACACAATGTGACATTGCACAGCCCAATACAGAACAATTTTTATCGTATTATTGTAATATATATTAACACAAAACAACACAAGACAATGAACCTTGTTATGTAAGTTACATGATTATTCTCCCCCCCCCCCAGGTTATGTCGGAGACGTGAGCCTTGCCCTGGATCCCCACCCCCCTCCTGCCACCCCCACCGGTGGGGACCCCTCGCTGGACCTGTCCGTGGGGCCAGGGGAGGAGACCCCCCAGGAAGTCCGTGTGGCACGAGCCGCCCAGAGTCTGAGAGAGAAGGGCCCGAAAAGTCCGGGGAGGGAGGCCAGACCTGTACGCAGGGAAGGTGAGGGAATAAATGAATGAACAAATGAATGAATAAACAAGAAATTGATACTCAAGCAACTGGATAGGTTTTACAACAAGTCATTACAACTTTGCAATAATTTCTTGTGTGTCTCATAACTTGGATGTCTAACCTTCATCGACAAATGAATGAATGAGTTTATTATTTATTAATTTATTGTGTCTAACATTTACACATCCAGCTTGTATAGGTTTATAGTACACAGACCGTTCACTTTGAACATTTGACAAATATAACTAAAGAGAGTCTGATACATGTACTTCTCTATATGATAGATGAAGGATATAACCCCCTCAAAGGTACTACTTTTGGGTACTGTAGCTGCGTCAGCACCAAGGACAGGGCCTTGTTGGACTATTTGATGTGTCATTCAGCACCAGGGACAGACACTGTTCACTATATAAAGTGCTTTAGAAAGTTTATTGCAAATACTTGCCCGAGGGCTAATTGCAGTTACAAACAACATAGAAAGAAAATACAGTGGTACGTGAGACTATATATCTACTTCTAACATTATACTATATTCTACAACATGACATGACACTAGTTTTACTGGGTTTGACTTCTTCTTTTTAGGCAATGGAAGACGAATTTACCCACTTCTTCTATAATATGTGGGTTCTTTGATTTTAGTAGTAAAATTGTTTTTTTGTGGTAAGGAATGGTGGGGAAGTAAGGCAGCATTTTGGACACGGTGGTAAATAATTGATTTCTGATGTCGTCATAAAATGGACAGTTAGAGATGAAATGAATTTCGTCTTCCACTGCATTTGAGGAGCAATATTTACTGTTACAAGCCTAGTTTGCCCTTTGTGAATACTAGAATGCACCACTTCCATGCATGTATAGCAGACAATTGGGGTTTGAAACTCTGTCTCTTCAATACCACAGCAAACCTGAAGAGATTGTTGGACAAGATAAAGACCCAGAGAGATGAGTGGGTGACCAGAGCTTCCCAAGAGGCCCCAGAACCAGACTCTGCCAGTACGCTGGTGCCGTTTCCTGTTGTACGGGAAGTGGACATGGAGGGTCCGCTCTCGGGGAGTGAGAGGGACACCCAGCCCAAGGATGTCATCGAAGAGGGAAGCATTACGACAACAACCACAGGTAAGGGAAAAGTTGCAATAACATACAAACATGTATTTTGTCTAATCTCCTAAAGCAGTGGTCTAAAACAGTTTGTTTTCACAATGAACACAGCAATCTATTGAGATTTTCCACATTTGTAGAAGAAATAACAGGTGACTATCACATTTTTTTCTGTCAACACTGAGTCAAAGGTATCTGGTAGACGATGTTGGCCCCCGTCGCGGTTGAGTAAAGGGTGATGGGCCCTGATGTACATGTATATAGCCTCCTTCACCTCCTATAAGACCACCTTGTAACCCTTAACACAATAATTCTCTCTCCTAGTTTCATCCTCAGAAGAAGTCCCTCCAAAGCGGGAGGACAGTCCAGCTGAAGGGGATTCCCAGCCTGACAGAGAAGGGGCCGAGGCTCCAGCTGAAGTGGTCCAGACCGGTACTGCAGGGACAGGGGGCGCCCCTGCATCCCAGGACACCACAGGAGACACCATAGTCGCAGGGAGCACTGCCTTGCTGCACCCCAGAGAGGAGGCTGAGAGGATCAGAGCTGAGGCTGCCAAACGCCAGGAGGTAGATTCAATATTAGAATACAGTGCAGTTCAGAATACACGTATTTCTACTGCTGAATGATACAATGCTAGAAATATTATGTCATAAAGTTTATTTTGCTGTATTGATATTAAAATGATATTGCATGGCATCATTAACTTGCATGGCATCATTCACTTGAAGCAATGTTCAAAATCAAAATACAAGAACTTGTTTTAAAGTACACACAGTGCTTATCCAGTTATCAGAGCTCAAAAATTTAAGAACACTGTTCTATTAAAAATGGTAATAATACTTAGTCTAGTACTATGTAGTAGCATTGCTCAATTGCATGCAAATTTCTCTTTGCAAACTAAATCTCAGATGAAAAAGCAATAAAATTTAAACATGTATACATTTTTTCTCTATATCCCTCTCATTCATTTAATTGTTCTTTGATTGAAATTGCATCTGTCTGCCTAGATGATGGCTGACCTTGAGCGACAGAAGCAGGAACAGCTGACCTTGATGCAGCAGCTGGAACAGCAGAGAAGACAGCTCCTGAACCAGCTAGAACAGGAGCGTGCTACTCACGAACAGCGCCAGCAATTCCTCGAGCGCAACCTTGTACAGCATCAGGAGAATGAAAGAACCTCCACGATTGGTCAAAAAGAAGATGCAACACCCTTTTCCATTGGTCAGCGACAGCAATTCCTGGAGCGCAACCTTCTCCAGCACCAGGAGAATGAAAGAACTACCTCGATTGGTCAGAAACCAGATGCAACACCTTTTGCCATTGGTCAGGTGCCCATTAGTCATGAAACTGCCATTGGTCATCCTACTACAAGCGTAGATGAGACGAAGCCTACAATTGGTCGACAGCCTGTTGTCCCTGATGAAAGACAGTCGGTGATTGGTCCACAGCCTCCACAGCTAGATGAACAGCTCATCACTATTCGTCGGCATCAGAAGAAGCTTTTGGAACAGTACCGAGCCAGGCAGGAGTCTGTCAGGAAGGTACAGCAGAAACTGGAACAGCACAGTCAGAGACAGCCAGGCAGGACAGCTCAGACGCATGCAACCAACAGGGATGTTGTTGTGCCAAAACTGGAACCCTGGTCCAGTTCTATGGGAGTGCCACAGAGCAGGTTACACAAAGAGCCAACTGAGGCAAGCCAATCCTCAGCCATAAGACAACCTCAGGTAAAATTGATAACATATATATGTTAGTGCAAAAATTGAAAAAAAATTGCTGTGTAGGCCTGCAAAAGCTATTGAATTTCATCTGTAAATTTTTTGTTGTGTTTTTATTTTTACAGTTTTCATGGTGACCTTTAATAACCACTATCCATCTAGCCGGGTGACATTGACCAATCAGAAGGCTCCATTCCACATTCCTTATGACGCCATAATGTCACAAATACAGTCAAAACGGGTCATTATTCATCCCAATCCATACATTAAACAATCAAATAATCACCCGCGTGACGCAAATAGAACACAAATCTGTTCCAACAAAATCCAAAAATAGTGTAGTAGTGCACTTAGTAACCAAAAATACATGGAGGCTGACTGCAGTTTTGTCTTGTGTTCTCTCTTACAGTTGGTTGATTCAGGGGTCAGGGGTGAAGGGAAGACTCCACTGCAGCCAGGGGGGCCAACAGTGCCATCAACTACAGGAGTGCCAGGCTCTTTAAGTTTAACCAGTCAGAAAGCTCGTGAACTCGAAGACATCCAGAGAAGAAAGGAAGAGTTGATCAGGCAACAGGAGATGGTTAGGAAACAGAAGGAAGTAAGTTGGCCCATTCTCACTTGTATAAACTGATAATGAAAAGTCTATAGACTTTTCCGAGACTCCAAAGAACTAGTCTCTTTTGAGCAAAAAATAGTCTCAGTTAACCATTAGTTTGAGCAAAAAATAAACAAGTACTGCAGTAGATATACTCAGCCCAGATACCAGCATTTCTCAGTAAATTATGACACTGTTCATCAAAATGTTTTCCTGCCAAAGAGACTAGGCCAACACTATCTGTCTGGGGATGTCGTCACGTAATCTAATTGAGTAATTCAACCTTTGGATGATACCATAAAGGCACTCAGGTTTGGTCAATCAGTGCGCCTGTTCAAATCCTGAGCAACTATTTAAATTAAAGAATATGTCCAGGATATGTGTTTTTAGCAGGGAATTGATGGAGAGAGCCAATTTGGTTACAGTGGACTGTTATCACTTTTTTTTTTTGCAGGAAATGTTGGCTCACCAGAGAAAGCAGGAGGAAGAGATGAGAATGAGACAGCAGTGGCTTGAACAGCAAATGGAGGAACAGCAGAGGCAGCTGGAGGAACAACAACAGCTGTACATCTTGCAACAGGTAGTTGTACAAACTGTGATCAAAACTGGTGAAAACAATTATTTTTTCCTAGTAAATTTGCATTCTAAGACAGTTTACTTTAAATTTTATTTTCATATCACTATATTTTGTTGACAAATAATGTTTTTAATTAATGTAATCAAATATAATATGTAAAAACTATTATAATATTTCAGTCGATTTATGACACATTCAATTGTAACATTTTCTGTACAATTCAGCTCTTGGGTTTCCAACATGCTTTTATTCCCATCAACTTGTGGATGATAAACCTGTCTACTACTACTACTACTCCTACTACTACGAATGATTACAGTCATATCTGTAAATCTGTTGCTGTTCAAAATCCAGCAAGCTCAACATGAAGCTTCTACGTCAGTGGAAGAGGACAGCAACACCGTGCCAAAAGAGGGTTACGAGAGGGAAGTATTGCCGGAATTCCTGGAAGCAGATTCTGAAGTTTCCGCTACAGAGGACCTGATGGTGGAACCCATCCGTAAAACTGTCCTCCCACCGAAACCTCCACCGGCATGGTCAAGACAGGTGGGTGGGATACATCTAATAAAGTTTTCAGCAAGAGGTTATACATTTTATAGAGGATAATATACATTTTTGTTACCTTAGATTTCTATACTGGACTATAATGTGTAAACTAGCCTGTGTTATGCAACCCTGTTGCTGTTGGGCTGATTTGGCCTCATTGAAAAAACTTTTGATGGCCCCAACTCCCAGGCTAGAGGAATGGATGCTAGAAGCATGTAGTCAAGCTCTCTCTGTCTGTCTGTCTCTCTCAGTCCCGTAGCTAGTAGCCATTAAGGCAGTCAGACAGTCCACAAATTCCATGTGTGTAAACATCCAGAAGTAAAAAACGTGTAGCTTAGGTGTCTTTTACTGCCTTTTAAGTATTTTTTTCTGGATCATGTAGGTTCATTACTTCCGAGGCGGCCCCACCCATGAGCTGAGTACCATACAGGAAGTGGACACCCCAGGCAGTGAGAGGATGGCCAGAAGTATGGCCCTGGCACAAGAACTGGATGATACAATGAGGTACATAATGTATGTGATCTAAACATAAAGACATTAATTCTTTGATGTATTCTTCTTCACTCCTTGTTGACCTGGGTCCTCATATATATGTACATTTCAAAAGAAGCAAATTTGCTTGTAAATTCTACGGCATCAAAATCATACAATATCGTACGATGAATGTGGCTGTGCCAAAAGAAATAGGTAGTACATGTATGTCAGGGAGCACAAGAAATTTCACTCACGCTATCATATCCCCACAGGTCTGCTCATCAGGACGACCTTGGATCCATGAGCCTCGACCTTGAGGGTTCCCTGACCCAGAGCCAGAGGAGGACGTGGCACGACCTGCTCCTGTCCCCTCCCGAGGTCACACAGCCACGCAGCATCGCTACCATGGTAACGGACGATGTTTCCCGGGCAACCACTCCACCCATCTCCTCCACTTTGGCAATACCAGGTGGGGTTGAAACAGCTATACCGGCAGCAACTTTGCAACCAGTGGTATCAAGTGCTGTCACTCAGTCAACACTTGGCTATTCAAGGGTCCCCCCATCAACACAACAGCCTGGGATCGCATCTTTAGGAGCAGGGAATGTGCCAAGTTTTGCTGCAGACGTAGGGAGAGGGGTGCTGGGCTATAGCTCCGTTAGACAACCGGTACAACAAGCGACAACCACAACAAGCCAACCAACGACTACAGGCCTGTCTACCACTACAGCACCTGTGCCATCGTCACAGCCAACCCTTTCAATGGAGGGAACCAAGTATAGCGATCTTGCTCAGCGGCTGTCCCAGCTTATCGACGACAAGCTGTCTTTGCCATCAAGTTCTCGATCCTCAGCCCCGCAACCGCTCGGAAGCGTGTTTTCCCCGCTGGCCAGCCAACCGAGGGCCATGTCTCAGGCCAGAATCGACCAATCGAGAAGCTTGTTTTCCTCGTTGGCAACCCAGAGCTTCTTCCCGACCGTGGACGCTCTCTCGTCTTCCAGTGAGGGGTTGGATGTCTCGGATATCGGAAACCCGAACTTCCCCCATTACTCTGTCAAACCACTGTCCTTACAAGAGGCCAGTTTTGCCCCGCTTCAAAAGCTGGAGGAGAGTGGTGAGATTAAGACATCTGCAGGAGGAGGGGTGGAAGATTATAGCCAGGAGGATAGAGGAAGGCAGTCTGAGGATTCCTCCAGTGCTGTGTCGATGGTGTCTACCGAGGGTAGTGAACAGGGAGGTCCACTACTCACACAGCGAAGTCTCAACTCTTTCAGTTCTGTCTCCGATGACTTCCGGCCACTGAAACCCGCTCACGACCCCACCTTGGAGTCTCTTCCCGACCACACGCAAGTCGGAAAGCCGCCGAAGCTGCAACAATTTCAGTCTCCTGGCAGCTTCGCGCCATTAAAACCGTCAAGCGACGCGACCCTGGATTCAACCCATCTGAGCGACTTCTCCTCCATCAGGGGGTCACCTGTCAAAGGGCAAAGGTTTCCCGGCTTGACCTCTTGGTCAAAGGGTATAGGTCAGGGGTCAAACGTCATGACCTCTTCACCCTTGAAGACCATGCGGACGCCGGGAGGAGGTTCGGGTGGGTTTGTCTCCTCTCAGCAGCTCCGTGATGATGTTCAGGCGATGAGGGAACGCCATCGCAGGGAGAGGGAGATCCTGCTGGAGGGCGCCCTGTCACATCTGGAGAGGGAGGATTTCGGCCCAGCTCTGCCAAAGGTTGGAAATAGCCTGACTCTTTCAGTGCCAGTACACAGGCTAGGTTACAAACAGCTTCAATTCTACATGTTATCATGCGCATTATTCCAGTATTTTACTCTTCTGTGTAGAGTGAAAATTTTAAAGGAAAGGATTGGACTTTATACCCAAATTTTTCACTGTTCAAAGTCAGTGACGGCCATTGCTCATTCCATTGCAGAAGCAATAGGAGGAGCAATCCATTGCTTCTGTGATTACAGGTTATGCAAATAGAACTTGTGACTTGCAGTGGATCATAAGTGCAGATATTATGCAGAGGCAGAAAAGTTAACTTTTTATCTGTCTTAGGAGGAGAGAGGCATACTAGAAGAGTCAGACCTCACACTGGTGGAGTCTACCCTGATAGAAGGGCCAATCGCTGACGATAAGGATGAAACACTACGCGAGGAGGGAAAAAAGAGGGAGGACAGTGGCTCATCTTTGGTAGAGGGACGGTTAGCAGACACAGACACCCTGCAGGAGGAGGTAGAACACAGCGATGACCAGAGTCCGTCTCTGATGTCGTTTGAACAGCACGAGTGGTCTGTTAGTCTGGAGTCCAGTCTGAACAGTGGGGAGCAGGCAGAAGCAAGAGGATCCACTCAGACAGGTCAGGTTCTCTCCATCAGACTTCTTTGCTGCCTGAAAAGAAACTGTTATTAATGCAGTAGAATACGTATTAATGAAATTTTGGGTGAAAATTGTTGAGGATTAGTGGTTTTTGCAAAGATTTTGTATTCCTTAAAGTTTCCTTAAAGTTTGTTTTGCAAACACTTTCATTTTTTGCTTGCAGCAATGGCAAATGTACAAACACACTCAATACACCCACAACCTCCACACACATGTACTCAATACACACACATACCCTCCACACACTCAATACACACATACCCTCCACACACACACACTCAATACACACATATACCCTCCACACACACACTCAATACACACATACCCTCCACACACACACACACACAATACACACATATACCCTCCACACACACTCAATACACACATATACCCTCCACACACACACACACTCAATACACACATATACTCTCCACACACACACACACTCAATACACACACACTCTCCACACACACACTCAATACACACACACAACCTCCACACACTCAATACACACACATACCCTCCACACACACACTCAATACACACCCTCCACACACTCCACAATTCTGAAACCTAAGATTTTCTGTTTCTTCTTCACACAGGACTACAGCAGTCAGAGATGAGTCCTGATCCTGCAGGAACATCCCAACAGAGAGCTGGGACCACAGATGACACCATGGACTCCCTCAGAAGGGCTCTGTCTGCATGGAAAGACAGCCGAAGATTCTGAACCTCAATGCAGCAAGAAAGCAAAATGTCTCTTCCATTTTTAACTTCACTGCTGGACCCTTTCCTGCCTTGTAATACATGTATTGTGTCCACCTTAAGTTTGTAAATGTATGTATGAGAAAAGTTTCGGTCAATATTATGATACATGTATATTCTATGATTATGATAATTTTTTAACACACTTTAATAGACATTGTGCCATAATATGTGTGAAGTTAAAGGAAGATCATACTGTGTCCTATACTCCAAAGAAAAAAAATTATTATAATTCCTGCTGTTATATTAGAGCTATGAACTTTTTGAGGTACATGTATATGTCTATGTAGGAAAATTGATACATGACGTTAATATGAACATGTTTAACACCAGAAACACATGTATACATTGAAAGTAATTGAATTAAAGGTTTCAACATTTTACTTGTCATGTTTTGTTGTGATTCTCTTTCTTTCTTCCATACTTTGAAGCACACTAAAAATGGTGAAAAATGCAACTATTGAAGAATCATGAACATGAAAACTCTGCATTTATTTAAGGCATCAATTTGAATGTAACATCATTTAATAGTCTGTACAATGTTTCATATTTCATCAATGAATGAAACCACTCAACTTAAATATACTATCACACAAGCTAATTAAAAATGAAATACAACCAACAGTTAACAACTTTAATAACACCTAATTCCATACCCTTTTATACGGTAATACTGTAAGGTTTGAAACTCTTTGAAATATACATTTGATAGTACTTATACCTTTGATCTCCAATCAAATTATTATTATCCATAAAAAAACAGTATACAGTCATGTAGGTTGAATTGTACAAGATGTAAAAATATTTATTCACCCTGGACCACTAAACAACAGTTTTGTAACAGTTATAGAAATGGTACTGCTCTTCAAATAAAAACTCAACCTATACAAGTAACATGTATACAGATTGTACACATGTATATGTTTGGAAACTTTATTTGCATTCATGACATTTTGCAGAAGTTTCATCTGTATTATCTGGCTGAGTATTTCTTGATGGTCCTATCTGCAGCGTCTTTAAACTCGGTTATGTGTGAGTCCAGTTTTCGCTCCAGTTCCAGTCCGTGTTTCTCCTCTTCTGCAAGAAACCGAGCTGCCACCGAAGCCCTGGACTCGGGTCTGGACGGAACTGGGCTCTGGAAGAGATTTGAGAATTAAACTCTTTGGAATGAATTCAGGAGTGAGTGAATGAGAGATTCTTCAGTTGTGTCTAGCGTTGACATGCTCGGTTGATGTAAACTTAAGAGAGCTACCATACACAAAATCATACCATATAAAAACAATGAAACCAATAATACTACTAGTACATGTACCTCCATCCCTGATATGTAGGGTGACTCTCTTCCCTGACTGTCCTTGCGAGTTGGAGTTGCCCAGATGTGCTCCATGGGGCTCCCAGTGTGAACATCCTCTGCACCTGAAGATTAGGTTATACAGTGTTACATGTAGCTGTAGATAGCCTCGATGCCTGCTAGCTTAGCTTCAGTACGTTTTGTCACTTCCATGCTAAAAAGACTGGACTGAGTCCCACACACACTTTATATCCGAACAGACACACTGGCCAAACCTGAGTGGTGATATGGAGTCATCCATTCAGTAGAGGCCTTGCTCAGCATGCAACGGATGATAGAATCAGTGCAGCACAAGTCTTTTTTGGTAGAGAAGCAACAAAGAAGGTGTACTAAAAAAAAAGCTATAAAGGCTGGTAAGTTGTACAAAGTAGAATGCTGACAAATTTCTTCACCAAAAGATGAGAAATGATTGGATAAAACTCTATCTTTAGGTACAGTATAGTAGAGGGGATTCATTTCTCAAGCTAACCGACATCTCGCACACGCAGTCATCCCTCAGTAAGACATCTGGAGCCGCATAGTTCCCGTTTAGAACTTTTATTCAGCCTTGTCACACGACCAGTTTTGCCTGTGTGGCTTCTTCAAGTGTAAAGAGGCGAAACCCTCTATCTTCAGGTACATGTATACTTTACCTCTAAAGCTGACAACAGAGTCTGACTGTGATCCTCCCCTCCTCCTGCCTCCATCCAGCTCCTGCTCATATCGACCAATCGTAGTGTCCAGTTTATCCTGCAGGGCTCTCAGCTTCCTGTCACTCTCCTCCTGGATGCTGCGCACTCTTCTGTAGGCAGTACAAACAACGATATGATATACATTGCACACTGTACAGATTTTCAATGGGACATACATGTAACAAGTGCACACTGTACTCTTCTGTATGTATTACAAACAACATAAAGCTATATGTGATACACATGGGATATACATATTGCACAATATACCGATATTCAATGGGATGTACATTTGTATATATATATATCAAGCTTATAATATTAGATTTTGCACAAAAACCGTAAGATCAACATGACCATGTTAGCATATGCATAAATCAACAGGATTAAGATGTTCCCAAATCTGCCATAGACCAGAGGTGTCATGGTCATCAAGCTTCTACTAAGTTCTAGGGGCCTGACAATATAGTGGGAGGGATGTTGCAATGTAGACGGCCTAAAGTCGAACAATAAAAAAGGCAAACACATCCAAACCTGCCCAAGACAACCACTCAGGGGACTGGAGAAAAGCATGATGTATGTTGGGAAAAGAACTAATAGTCGACTAGAAGTAAACTTCAGCATGCACAAAACTGTAAGTAGAACCCCCTGACCTGTCCTCCTTAGTCCTGAGATCAGTGATAGCGCGCTGTGTCTGTCGGAGCGCGGCGCTGTACTTCTCCTGGTTGGTCTGTTCGCTCAGCTCCAGCTGGTCTCGCAGGGCTGACACATCCTCACGCAGACGCAGGTTCTCCTCCTGCAGACACAGACAAATAAATGGTTGACAGATCATAATAAGAAAATCGAGATTTCTGACTTTTACAATGTAAGTATTTTGGGTTCTTGTAACCTTCAAGTTCCCACCATTTCCTGTGTCTGACTTTTTGACCCCATCATTGTGCCTGTCACCCATTCATGTGCTTTCAAGTTCACCCCATTTACTGTGTCTGATCCTTTGACCTGTCCTTTTGCCTGTCAATCTTCCCCACCCACATGCTGAGTAAAATATTTACTAGCTAGTTGGTTTCAATACACCTTACTTGTTGTGAAGCTTACTTGGACCAGTGAGCAAGTTAAGAGCACATGTACAATTACCTGCTACATTCCAAGCAGAGAAAGTGTTAAACATGTCTTGATCACACATGATTTCAAGCTAAAGAATATTACCTCAAGTTTTGCCACAGAGGCAGAGTAACTTCCCTGTAGTTCAGTCAGCTTCACCTCAGCCTCTCTCAAGTCCTGGGGGAAAAGAATTAAAATTTTAATAAACACAGAACACTATGGAACAAAAAAAAGCCTGCATCTGTCATTATGAAGACTACGGCTTATTTTGTTTAAGTTAACCTAGACCTTTGTATACACGTACTTGTACCAGCTGATATTGTGTTTAGGTACATTTTAGCCTAATATACAAACATACATGTAGTAGTACTGCTTCCCCACCTTGGATGCTGATCTCTGGTCAGCCTGTGTCAGCTCTCTGAGGTGGCGATTTTCCAGTCGTAGAGCTTCCAGTTGGGCCATGGTCACCTACACACAACCAGCATATAAGTAAAACAGTCTACTGACTCAATATGATCACTAAGGCTAAACACAACCAAACCAGCATCCCAGTATGGTCAAAATTTGTCCAGTCCACCAGTTAAGTAGGGACAGTGCTGAGTTGTTTGTCCTCTGTTCAGGGAGTTTCAGCTTGTAAGCCCCCATGTTTTCGTTGCATGATCAATTACCATGGTTTCTTGTAATATTTGGTGGGGAAGAGTTTTAGAAATACCGGTAAGCTTCAGGGTACTTTACTTATTTTAGGCCTTCAATCTCATCATAATAGTTTCCTATGGGTAAAGGTTTTATCTATCCTAGCCTGAAGCAAAACACACCTGCAGCTCTGCTCCCTTCCTGTCCAGCCTATCGCTGGTGTCCCTGAGTTGTCGCTCCATGTGAGATGACTTCTCACTCAGCTCAGCGATGGACACGTCTCGCTGGTGCAGGTCGGCTGTCAGGTGGGACAGCTCGGCTCTCATCCCCTCCACCTCAGACACATGGGACTGCTCCTCCTGAGCTAACCTGCCCTGGGACTGCAACAAACATCTTTTATTCTAGATTAAGCCATAGGAGCCACTGTATTAGGATTAGATAAACATATAATTTAGAAATCAGAAAGTTCACCCCATTATTTTGGGTTACAAGCTAAGCTGTTTTTGGGTTACTTTGTGTTCTTTTGTCCTGCCAGTGACAGAGCAAGTTGATAGCACATGGGTGTGGGATGATTGACAGGAAGAAAAGGTCAAAAGGTCCGACATAGAATGGGGATGGTCACAAAACACAAAATACTTCCTTGAAGTCTGAAATATCTCTTGATTTCTTGTTCGAAATGTATAGGACGAATCTAATGAACAAGTAAATGACATTTTTTTCAAAGATTTTTAAAAGTGTTGTTTCACACATGTTGGTCAGAAGAGGACACATCTGTACACCTACCTTGTCCAGCTCCGTCTGTAGTTCCCTGAGCACAGTTCCCTCCAGTCTGCGGATCTCCTGTATCCTGCCTGTCAGCTCTGTGTTCAGGTGGGCAACCTCAGTCTGGGAGGACTGCAGACTACAGGGGGAGGGGGGCAGAGGCATTACTGAGTGTACATTCAATGATCTTTTATAAGCATGGCGGCAGAACATACTGTATCTGTGCGAAACCTGGATTTTTCACAGCTTCTCATGCGTTAGGTCAACGTTGCATCAGAATTTTGCCAAATATCTTTTAAGACACAACTACAGTAACTAGTATATACACAGAATGTCATTCTAAAAGAAGATGTCCTGCCACAGTGTTATTATTTATTTTTTATGCACAATACATTACAGATTTCACACAAGTGCAGTATGTTCTGACAACATGCCCATATTTTACAGCAAGAGCCTGGTCACGTGTACATCAGATCAGGAACCATACTAGTATAGCAGTACTAACACTAGTAACAGGAACAATTTTGATTGAAGGGTTGATTGATTGAATTATGGAACAGAACTAATTTAAGGCTAGTGATTGGTGAACTAAACAGTAACTCAACAAAATTATTGACAGTTAGACAAACTGATTGCGCTACTAGTAACTAAGGCTAACACTAACATCATTCTATATCTAATTTGATTAGGAATTTGTCATGCATTAGGAATTGTGGTGATTGCATGCTTTTACAAGTGATTGGTCGACTAAACTATCCCCAACTAAGTTGGACAAATTGATTGGGTTGACTAAGGCTAACACTACCAGCTACATCTAATTTGATCAGGAATTTGTCATGCAGTAGGATTTGTGGTGATTGTAGGATTATGCATGCTTTTACTAGTGATTGGTCGACTAAACTATCAACTGAATTATGGACAGTTGTTCAAACTCATTGGGCTAATTAGGCTACTTGCTACATCTAATTTGATTAGGAATTGCCATGCAATAGGATTTGTGGTGATTGTATGATAATGCATGCTTTTACTAGTGATTGGTCAACTAAACTAGCCTAAACTAAATAATCGACAGTGAGACGAATTGATTGGGCCAACTAAGACTAACACTAATGGCTACATCTACTTTGATTAAGAATTTGTCATGCATTAGATTGTGGTGATTGTATGATTATGCATGCTTTACGTGTAATTGGTTAACTAAACTATCCTCAACTAAGTTGGGATACTTTAGTTGTTACCAGCTACATAAAGCTAACACTAGAAGCTACATCCAATTTGATTAGGAATTTGTCATGCAGTGCAATTTGTGGTGATTGTATGATTATGTTACGTGCAGAGAGAGAGAATTTCATCATGCATGACTCTGTGACTGTACCTAGCTTGTAACCTGTCAACCTCCTCTCGGAGTCTCTGTTCATTTTTCCTGCAGGTTCTGCATAAGGACAGGAACACACAGCAACATGGAATTCAGTGTAGCCTTCCACTAAAGACTGGTATCCAGGCTAACTACTTATTATTTTGCCCTACATTACATCAATTCGTAACCTGAAAAAGCATCTATATATTCTGGCTGACTTGCAGGTAGCTGTAATGAAGTATAACAATGTTAGATTGCCAAGTAAATCTTTGTAATTGACAGACTTAAAAACTGTTTAAACTATTCTGCTGTGAAGAAAAAATTCTGAATTTTCTGTTAATAGGTACTCCAAATATAAACAAGAAAGACAAATATGGAAAGATTTTGTAGCTGTGTGTACCTGGCTTCTGACCTACAGCTACTGAGTTCTTCCCTGAGTTGGTTAAGTTCAGCTGCCTCTTCTTTCCTAGTAGCATCCTCTAGTGATCTGTGTTGAGAAAAAAGCATAATATTATTACCATCTTCCTTCATGTGTAGTGACATGTGTAGTGCTGTAACCTGTACTTGATGAGTTTGTCTTTCATGTGTAGGGACTCCTTCAGCATGTGTAGTGACATGTGTAGTGACATGTGTAGTGCCATGGGTAGTGCCATGTGTAGTGCCATGTGTAGTGACACATGTAGTGCTGTAACCCATACCTGATGAGTTTCTCCTTCATGTGTAGAGACTCCTCCAGCCACGCCATGTGTAGTGTGACGTGTAGTGCTGTGTACCTGATAAGTTTGTCCTTCATGTGTAGAGACTCCTCCAGACGTGACAGGTCCTTGCTGTGGTTCTTCTGGTCCCTCTCGGCAGCCTGGATGTGTAGTGGCATGTGTAGTGTCAGGTGTAGTGCCATGTTTAGTGGCATCTGGCGTGTGTAGTGAGATGTGTAGTGCCACATGTAGTGCAGTAACCCATACCTGATAAGTTTGTCCTTCATGTGTAGAGACTCCTCCAGCCGTGACAGGTCCTTGCTGTGGTTCTTCTGGTCCCTCTCAGCAGCCTGGATGTGTAGTGCCATGTGTAGTGCCATGTGTAGTGCCATGTGTAGTGTTGTGTTACCTGATAAGCTTGTCCTTCATGTGTAGAGACTCCTCCAGGCGTGACAGGTCCTTGCTGTGGTTCTTCTGGTCCCTCTCAGCAGCCTGGATGTGTAGCGGCATGTGTAGTGGCAGGTGTAGTGCTGTGTTACCTGATGAGTTTGTCCTTCATGTGTAGAGACTCCTCCAGCCGTGACAGGTCCTTGCTGTGGTTCTTCTGGTCCCTCTCGGCAGCCTGGATGTGTAGTGCCATGTGTAGTGCCATGTGTAGTGGCACGTGTAGTGAGATGTGTAGTGCTGTGTTACCTGATGAGTTTATCCTTCATGTGTAGAGACTCCTCCAGGCGTGACAGGTCCTTGCTGTGGTTCTTCTGGTCCCTCTCGGCAGCCTGGATGTGTAGTGCCATGTGTAGTGCCATGTGTAGTGCCATGTGTACAGCCATGTGTAGTGCTGTGTTACCTGATGAGTTTATCCTTCATGTGTAGAGACTCCTCCAGACGTGACAGGTCCTTGCTGTGGTTCTTCTGGTCCCTCTCAGCGGCCTGAATCAGGTCATCTCGGGACTGCAACTCCAGGTTCAGCCTCTTCACCTCGTCCTCCAGCCTCTACAGTAAGGCAACGAGTCGGGATATTTCTTCTGCTGTCATCATCATTATGATACATTGATACCATAGATCAATAGGCAGTTACTGTTAGTACAAAAAAACAAATTTTTTTCCTTGAAAACATTATCACCAAGTACAGCAGGGACATCTTTACTAGACTGGAGGTAGGCATACATGTACATGTACAAACCTTAAGGTATAAGTATGACAGTCACCTACTGGTACATGACATTGTACTTAGTCTAGTATTATCACAAGCACACTGGCAAACTGGCATCCAGGCTAAAGGTTGACCAGAGGGTTCAACACCAACTTTGATAATAATGTAATATATAAACTTCACATAATAAAGATAAGACATAGTACCCTGTTATCCCTCTGTGCCTTTCTTAGGTCTTCCCTCAACTGTTCGTTCTCCCCCAGGAGTTGGTCTTTAGAAGAAATGGTATCATCCAGCTCAGCCTACAAGGTTGGGTGTATTAAAGATGGAACTACAACTGGTTCACTGTGCACTGAGGCTAGATGTTACTGTAACAGTGTAAGTAACACCTAGTTCCAGTGAACAGTACATTTGTAAACCAGTCATATTAGCCCTGGTGAAGATGACAATGGTTGTAAATGAAAGAACTTCAATGCTTCACCAACCTAATGAAATTTTTAACATTTTCTTAATTGTTGTTGAAGATAACAGACGGACATCAAAACGTTGACTTGCATCAAACAAATGGTTGTGGATAGAGTAATTTTACTATTCAACAACAAAGAAACATCGGCAAGTGAATCATATATATGTACCTGGCGAAGGTTGATGAGATTACCTGAAAAGTTAAGGTGCACGAGTTCCTTTTTTTGTGTTGGAACTAAGCTCAAACTCTACAACTATGGATTCCACCAAGTTCACACAGATGAGCTTTCATTTAAACAAAGCAAGATGTAGAAAACCTTGGCCAAACCTTGAGTCTCTCCATAGTCGCCTTCTGCATGTTTATGTCATCGCGCGCCCGCTCCAGCTGTTCTGTCACCTGGGACAGCTGCACCTGGTGAGTCGACTTGTAACACTGGCTCTGTTGCTATGGCAACAGATGTAAATCCTAATTATAAGAAAAAGGTGTGACAAACCTTGAGTCTCTCCATGGTCTCCTCCTGCATATTGATGTCATCGCGCGCCCGCTCCAGCTGTTCTGTCACCTGGGACAGCTGCACCTGGTGAGTCGACTCCACACTCTCCAACATCTGCCTCCGCTTGTTCAGCTGCGACTGGTAACTCAGGCTCTGTTGCTATGGCAACAGACAAGTCATATTAAGAAACTAGATCTTGAGAATATATGATTATCTGATATCATTAGACAATGCTAAATAGTAATAGGCTTTAAGGGAGCATCTTCATAAATCTGGAGGAGGTTGTTAGCTGCACCAGCTGCACCTGGTGAGTCGACTCCACACTCTCCATCATCTGCCGGCGCTTGTTCAGTTGAGACTGGTAACTCAGGCTCTGTTGCTATGGCAACAGATGTACGTTATAAGAAATTGGTTATTGAGAATACTAAGTATACTTCATTGCACAACAATTGTACAAGGTGCAAAGTAAGGTAAAAAATGGGATTCACTGATGGAAAATGCTTTTAGTGCTTGTTTTGTATAGTAGGATCTACAAGGATGGCTCAACCAACGGGTGGAATGTAAAAAATAAAGAGACAGTTCACGTAGCTTGCTTTGGGCTATTTCAAACGCTTCAAGGATGAAATGATGATGAAAATGTGCTAAGAAATGGCATGTGCGCAAAGTAAATGTCAATAGCAGACAGATTTTCTCATCAGTATAATATTTCTATTTCACTGCCCTAAAATTGCATTGGGTGCCTTTAAGAATAGTTTAGTCTCCACAGCATATGAACCTACCTGCATGTGTTCACACTTCTCTGCCAGAGTCTTTCTCTGTGCCTCCAGACTCTGGATCTGACCTTGGAGTGACCTTCGTTGGCTGTCCCAGTCCTTCCCGCGCCCACGATAATCCTACAAGCGTATAATGGGACAAGCGATTTACTAACATGTTGTATCTTGTCATCGGGATTGGATCATGAATTCACTCAGTGACCTCTAGACACTGAAGGTGTTAGCAGTGGAAAAAGATGGATGGGCACTGCCTACCAATACTGTGCCTTAGACACAGTTTGTTGATCAAGAACCCACTGCTATTGCAGATTCAAAATGGCTATGGGACTACCTTAAACCTTTTTATGGAAATACCTTTTGGACATGTTGTGTCTGGCATCAGGATTGGATGAACTTACTCAGTCCATTTTGAAGTGACTTAGACATTCAGATAGCTGCTTAATGCTGAAAGAGGCATTTTATTCCAGTATGTAGTAACTTTGTACACAGATACATTGTGCCATTCTGTTCTTCATTTCTCACCTCTACTTTGGTTCTAAGTGCCTCTATCTCTGTCCTGCTGTCCCTCAGCTCAGCCGCCAGTCTGTCCTTCTCCACACTCGACCCTGATGACCTCTTCAGCTGGTGCCGCTGAAGCTTCTCATACTTGGTCTTCAAGTTGGTCAGCTGTGTCAAGAAGGGAGAGCTTTTATAAGTATAATAAAAAATTAGTTCAAAATTGTTTCTTAAACTTAACTTAAAAACTCCTTAATCTATTACAGGCATATATCTTAAAGATGGTGTGTTATGCCAAAGGGCAGTTATACTGGCTATCAAGATACAGATACAGAAGTTTATATAGTCATACACCTACACCTATACTTACACTTACGAACTGACAGTAACATTAAATTGCTGTCTTTGCTGAACTTTATGAATATCATAAGTGTATAGTTCCCCTTCCCTGTTTCTGACTCACCTCATTCCTCAGTCCTGACACCTGCTGCTCATATTGAGCCACCAGGTCCCGCTGGGCTCTCTCAAACCCTTCCAACTGCTGACGCAAATTACCGATCTGGAAAAAAGGGTGGATGATTCACTTCTCAACAATCTTATTGCTTTTTATCGTTTATCGTATCTAGCCGGTTCTCAGCCCATGTTGCTTGGCTTCCAGTGTGGCCCCCCTTGTGCCTGACATCCAGATTTCAAGTAGGTAAACAAAGACTTAAACAAACAAACAAACAAACAGTACCTCCTGGTGCTTGGCCTCCAGTGTGGCCCTCTGCATGAGAACTTCCTTGTCCCTGACGTCCAGTTTGACCTGTACAGCCTGTAGTTCTCTCTCCCACTCCGCCTTCTTACTGTTCCCCAAGTAAACAAACAAACAAATAGTACCTCCTGATGCTTGGCCTCCAGTGTGGCCCTCTGCATGAGAACTTCCTTGTCCCTGACGTCCAGTTTAACCTGTACAGCCTGTAGTTCTCTCTCCCACTCCGCCTTCTTACTGTTCCCCAAGTAAACAAAAACAAACAACAAACAGCGTACCTCCTGGTGCTTGGCCTCCAGTGTGGCCCTCTGCATGAGAACTTCCTTGTCCCTAACGTCCAGTTTAACCTGTACAGCCTGCAGTTCTCTCTCCCACTCCGCCTTCTTACTGTTCCCCAAGTAAACAAAAACAAACAAACAAACAAACAGCGTACCTCCTGATGCTTGGCCTCCAGTGTGGCCCTCTGCATGAGAACTTCCTTGTCCCTGACGTCCAGTTTAACCTGTACAGCCTGTAGTTCTCTCTCCCACTCCGCCTTCTTACTGTTGACCATGATGTCGATCTGCCGCATCAGTTCCTGAAGCTCCGACTGGCAGGAGGTCACAGTACTGGGGAGGCTGCAGGGGACAGACAGGCATCACAATGAACATCAGAGAATGGACAAATACTAGTATTGAACTTAACGTGTGAAATTTACAGAGAAAGGTGGAGAATAGTGGTTGTCTGATCTGATCAGTTGTGGACTTGTGGCGTCCCAACGGTTGAATAATTAGACTAAGGATGTGTATGCTTTCTTTAAGTGAAGGAATGACTTTTGTTGTACATTTCTGCCTTTAACTTTAAGGAACTCTAGGAAAAATCTTTAGAAGAAGATAATTCAAGTCGTTGACAGATTGTCATGATCAGATGACAATTATGCAAATCAGATCTTATTTTATAATTAATGAGGAAAGTTTACACTTACGACATTCCAGCCTGCCTCTCCAGTCCCTGTAAAAGTGCCCTCTGGTCCATGTTGTGTCACTTTCAGCAATCACCGTTCATGAAACCAATGACACCTGTAAAAGTTAGAAGAATAAAAAAACAAGATTTATGGAAAAGGCTGAGCTGCCTAGAATGCCAGGCTACAATAGACATGCTACCCTTTCTGAGTCCCAATGAGATTTGGCCTCTGATATGGAATTTCCTTGACCAAGAACTGCCCCCCCCCAAGAAAATGGCAAGCCCATCCTTTTCCGTAAACCCAAAGAAAAAGTGTCTGAAAATTATGTTTGTTGATAAAGCTTACAACTCTTAATTCATCTTGTCTTTGTTTCTTTGAAGGACACTTAATTACCATAACCTGTTAACAGTTGTTACAGAGCTATGGAGTCCGCCTGTTCTTTTGTTTCTAAGGACGCTACACATGATCAACATGATAAGAACTAGAAACTTTTTAACTCGAAGTGCTTTAGCAAAGAGACCACAAGTCTACCTTCAAACAGCGATTTTATAACCATTTCCTGTCTCTAATCTAGTCTAAATAGTCTCAAATAAATATGACAACGACTGAGATTCTAAAATTTTATCCTAAGGGTGTCAAAATAAGATTTTAAGCGACCAAATCTAACCTGACTTACGTCTCTGTGCATTTCGAACTCGGACCTCCCTCCAAATCCGCTAAGACTCATGGGAAAACAATATAGGAGGGCTACACTTTCAACAAAGGGGTGTTTGAAATCAATAGATTTCATAGAAATAAAATTGAATTGAATAGTTACATCTTTTATATTCATAACAAAGATATATGAATAGGTTTATTTTTGTAAAAAATATGTATCATAAGGCCTCTAATGATGTCAAAACAAATGTTTATAAAATTTGCCTCTGTTTTAGTGGCATCGGCTAACCGTCGTAAACTATTGCCGTAAAACGGCACGTGTGGTCACAGGACTTCCGGGTTCAATTTTTGAGGGGAATCGTTGCTTTTTTTTTGCAAATTTTCTTTACGTTTTTGCTGAATTAGTGGCGAGCAGACTCCTGAACATGCTTCTAGTGTTAGCAGACGAGCATAAGGAGCATCTAGGCTTCTTGAATGAAGTCGAGGTGGAAGGTATGTATTGCAAAATCATTTTCAATTTAAGTTGCCTGAGGCTATTGACAGGATCGTCCTGTCAATAGCAGAAAATATTGCACTGCTGACAGGATCGTCCTGTCAATAGCAGAAAATATTGCACTGCTGACAGGACGATCCTGTCAATAGCAGAAAATATTGCACTGCTGACAGGACGATCCTGTCAATAACAGGAAATACTGCATTGCTGACAGGATCGTCCTGTCAGCAGTGCCATTTTTGACACTGTTGACAGGATCGTCCTGTCAGCAGTGCCATTTTTGGCACTATTGACAGGATTTTTTAAATCTTCCATTTTGGGCTCTATTGACATGATTTCTTCTTTGTTTTCACTTTTTAACCAGTCAGAAGGCATATGCTACTGTACTGCAGATTAGGCGTTTCACGATGGCGGCTATCATCACGTTAACAGTTACTAGTATCAATACAGAGTACTCCAGCAGATATATGTCAAAACTGGACATGTTCAAAATATAAATACAAGCGAATTTCATGCATAAGCTGTCTGAAATACGAAGGCGGTTACATAAGATGAAGACAATAAAAAAGACAAAAAGAAGTTGATCTCTATCCATTATTTATTCTTTCAACAACTTCGAAATCAAATGGAACAAATCCAGGAAAGTACCGCTGGTGTGGCCTGTTCAGCTAGCCGGCCCGCTAACAACAACAGCCCCCTGGCGCGCGTATCCAGCTGGCCACCGAATTTTACCGGCCCCACTGGGCCCCACAGTACCGGCAAAGGCACGCTGCAGGGCCTGGCACGCTGGTTAGTGTTACTGGGGGGCGGGTTGTTGTGTTGCTGTTAGCACGCCTGGCGGTTAACCCTGGGTGCCCCAGAGTCCGGCGTTTATTTGGCGATAGATTTCGGGAGAAACCGTATTTGCCCGCTACCATTATCCACCCAAACCCCTTCGTCCACGCGAAGCCCTCTATATAAACGCCTCATGCGGGAGGAGATATTCAGAATTTAGACCCAGTGTGCCAAGTAGGTCTGCCGGGAGTATGGCTTCAGTTACTTGCTCAAGTTGCTGAAGGCATGACGAATTCACAGTAAAATCATTTGCGTTCCTTGTTGCACTCTTTTAAATGTTTTGTATAATCATAAAATATCTTTTTATGTTTTCTTGCAGTTGTGAAAGAGTTCTGTAGAATAGCCATGGAGTTACTTGCTCAAGTTGCTGAAGGCATGACGAATTCACAGTAAAATCATTTGCGTTCCTTGTTGCACTCTTTTAAATGTTTTGTATAATCATAAAATATCTTTTTATGTTTTCTTGCAGTTGTGAAAGAGTTCTGTAGAATAGCCATGGAGTTCATCCGGTCTGGACCAAACCCCAAACTCTACCAGTCAGCAGCACGTAAGAAAGTTATACTGTATACATGTAGAAACTTAGTATAACTTAGTTTATATTATCATTAAGTTGCTGAATGCAACTCATAACCTCTTTGGTCAGAATAGATAAAATCCTAAGAATGTACAAGGAGTAAAAATGCAAAGGAAATGCATGTTCATGATCATCAAGTAAAAGATTTTCACTCTGTTTTTTTATGTAATATTCAAACCTTATCAAAACCATTTCTTTCACTGTAGAAAAACTTGGAGTTGCATCAGAAACAGTACAGCATGGAGTAGAAGGACTGATGTTCTTACTGACAGAGTCAGCTAGGTACATGGTAAGTACAGGCGTCAATAGGAACATGGTAAGAGCTTGTGGCACCTCTCACACTGGAGAGCCATTCGCATTGGCTGGGGTAAATTTAGACTGTAACAGGCTTTGGGAAGTGGCTGGAAAGTGTAGAAATTGGCCAAATGATAGATGATATGCCAGGGGAGTTGCTAGATGTGTTGCTAGCTTGCTGCTCCCAAAGTTCTCATCCACTAGGATTAGGATTGGGATTTAGTCATGCTAGGCTAGTACTAGAGCTTCTATAAAAGTATGATGTAGTCAAACTGTCATAAAGCATGTCTTTCACATTGCATTTACATGTGTATTTTCATCTTTATCTTCCTGTCAGATTTCAGAGATAGATTTCCAGGACTCCATCATGACGCTGGGGTTCAGTGATGACCTGCGCTCGGTGCTGCTGCAGCTGTACTTGAGTAACCGTGGGGAGATCAGGACTGTTCTGTCTGAGATGAGCATGGACCTGCCACACTATCACAACCTGGAGTGGAGGCTCGAGGTCACGGTGAGGGGCAAAAAGAAAAACTCTTTTTGTGTTGTGGCATGTTTCTGTAAACCATGTTTAGGTGTAACATACTAGTTTTGTATGTCAATGAAGGTTAGACATCCAGGTAATAAGATATCGGTACACAAGAAACTGAAAATCGTGGTGAGGGACAAACGTCACTTGTTTGTTTTGCGTAACTGAGTTCAAACACTTAGCAGCTAATCAGGTCCAAAGGTTTTGTCCTTCCCCTTGAGTATCTTGATGTCCTCTAGGATAATACATGTATGTAAAGCTGAAGGTCCCTTGTCATGACTGAAGCATGTTAAAGAAGCCAATACACTCCATGAAAAGACTACAACTCAGCACAAGAAACTGTGAAGTAACAATAAGTGTTCAGTATTGTGTTTTCAGCACCAAGGACAGGTATGCTTCCTTATTGCATTTTTCATCTTCTGCTGTTTCAGGTTGCTGGTAGGACTCTGAGACACCAGGTTACCCCCAGGCTTATGATGAAACTGCACACCCAGGACTCAGGTAAAATACTACAAATTATGTAGTTGAAGTATAGTACGTACATTTTTCACCCCCTCACTTACATGTACTTTTACTACTAGCTTTGCACTCTTTTTTCTCACTTGAGGGAGCTAACACTATTTTATCATACAATAGAAACAAATACTTGTTTGTTTCACAATCTGTGTCAAGGGCTGAGTGGACTCCTCCCAAGAGCTCAAGCTTGTGGCCATACATATAGACAGTCCTCAGTCTGGTAATATTTGGTATGTCTTAATTCAAAGAAAGATCAATTCAACAGGATTAAGATGTTCCCAGTTCTCCTGACTTAGAAGTGTTGGCCACCAAGCTTTTAGTAACCTTACCCACCTAAGATAGGGCTGCTTGAAGCATTATTTAACCAGCCAATGACTACCTTATGTTATGTAATAATCCAAAGTCTATTGCTTGTCTGCTGTAGGTGAGAAGGATGTCCAGGTGCTGCAGACAGACCCTGTCAACCTGCTGCACCTCACACAGGTGCTAGAGGGCGCTCTTTCGGAGATGAAGTCCACCCACTGCAGACGGATCGTCAGGAACATAAAATAATAAAGTCTACATCTATGCTAACAATAAGCTAAGCTAGCTACACTGTGACATTGGTATTTTCTAGCCGACACTCACACATTGAACTGTATGATAACAAAATAAAATTTCCAATGTAAAGAATATTGTCTTTTCTGGTTTTGACAGATAAACATAATGTAAGTAATAGGTAAGAATTTGTCTACAATAACATTTCCCATCAAAACAAGCAGAAAAGGATTTCACAGAAACACAGATTGTCAGGAACATAAGTCTGCAGCTCATGCATTTATTACAGATCTCTCTAATGATTGTTAAAGTGATCAGTGCTAATTTTCAGGTACATGAATGTGCTTTTCTAATTTTAGAGGCTTGATGGTTTCAATGTTAAGCCCTTAATAAAGTCATGAAAACACAGAAGTGATTGTTCGAATTGTTCACTGCAATGGATGGATGGTAGCTCTTTATTTGTGTATATGAGAACGCATTTTGATTTGTTCACAGATTTACCAATCTAGATATAATATCAGATTGTTCTTGATGATACCACAAGCCTTTTTGTGGTAGAAGCCGTAGGTATTTTAATGCCTGATTATGTTTTGTGAGAAATGTCCATGCTAACTGTACGTTACTCTGTGACACTGATATTTTCTTGCCAACACATATATATTGAACTGTATGATAATAAAATGACATTATTCAATGTACAAAACACTGTTTCTACTGTCTTTCTTTCAGTACAGAGTTGAAAATAGTAACAGTGGTCCAATATCAGTTTATTGTACTTCAGATTTAAACTGGACAATAACATTCGTGATTCATAAATAATGAGCAAATTGATAAAGTTGAAGTCTTTGTGAATACCTGATGCATACATAAGACAATTGTCTATAAAATGTAGTGAATATGTGTTTTTATCTTATGATCTATACATATTAGATGCATGACACATAAACAACAACTACTGCTACAGTCAACAAGATCTACTACTACATTGTACACTAGTAAGATATTTACTTTCAACAATAAATATAATGTGTCATGTCCTAAATTGTGACTCTAACACATATTCTGTTTTCTTACAGTTTGTATATAGCACTTATTTTTGGCTCTTCTGTTGAAACTCCTCTAGATCTTTCTGCAACTGTTCCTTCTCTTCCTTCAGTCTTTTTACCTTGTTCTTGTTGTACTGTACCCTGTTCTCTAGTGTCTGCACTAGAGACCCACTGAGCACCTCCATCAGGTGACTGAGGGACTGCATGTAGACTGTACCATTATGAATGCAGGTGGTCAGGTCCAGGCCTTCCCTGTAAAAAATGTACAAGAATTCAGAACAAATACTGTAAATCGTGAAGCTTTTATGGTGGCTTTGATGTTGCGATGATGTCTCCACTGTGAATTTATGACCCCACGAATATTTCTTCCTTGTAGACTACTGTACTACATAATCAATCTAACCACGAATTTAAAACTCCATGAAAATGTCTGTTTCCCACTAACATGAAATACAACCAATAAAGGTGTCACGATTTGCAGTACATGTAGTAAGTTTTTCACAACAACAGATAAGGTTTAAACAAAAACAACAAAAAAAAGCAACTTTAGGGCCTGCTACATGTAGGGATTAGAACCTTTAGTCAGCAACCCTAACCATCAGACCACCTTGCTCCTTGGTGAATAGGAAGGACAATTACTCACCCTAACGTCCTGCTGTAGGCCTCCTGTTCCTCCTGTGAGAAGATCTGAGGCAGCTCCACCAGTGACTCCAGACACGGCCGGCTCATGGTGTCCTTAGGTAAGATGTGGAGAGGGATCTCTATTCTCTCATACCTACGGGACAAAATAAACAAACAAACAAATAATGATACAACACCAAACAACAAAGGGATCACTATTCTCTCAGTCAATACCTAAAGAAGATGACCTGGTGAACAAACAAACAAATAATGAAACAACAACAAATAACAAAGTGGGATCTCCTTCTATCATAAAAAAACAAACAAATGATGATACATGTGATGTCTGCTGGACAAATAATCTGCATCATGCTATGCTTTAGGTTGGTATAATATGGAAGGACCTACATGGGGGGCTCCCCTTCTGGACTCTGGTTGATAGACTGGAAACATGTGACCTGTACCTGGTGTCTCTGTATGGGGGAATGGGAACAAATACTTGTGAGTGGTATAACAATAATGTGGTAACCTGTATAGAGTATAGCCTGGTAGAAATTAAAGTATTACACACTGCAAAACTATTCGAACCCTCTACTCAGTAAAGATCCCTGGCTTGAAGACATTAGGCTCTCACTGTAGACATACTGGTAGCCTACAATGTCTGGCTACAACAAGGCTACTAAAGAGATACTATATGGTAAGATGGTTCCATACTTTTGTGGCCTTGTCCTCATTGAAGACAGCAAAGATGAGCCCAACAAAACAGTCGTCCATAAACTGGTAGGACTGCTGGGTCTGAACATCTGCAGAGGAAGGGAAGAAAACAGCAGTCAGTTTGTTACCAAAACTGGATACCCATTTTCACCTGAGTCAAATGAGGAAATGCACTGTAGGACTGGTGTAAAGTGCCTTTCCCAGGGCACAACATTGTTGCCTGCTTAGGATTCGAACCCAGAAGGCCAGAACCTTAGCTTTAGATTCTAAGTCAACAACTTTAACTACAAGACCACACCTTGGTTGAGCTTTTACCAGGTTGTCGAGTTGACTTTTCTTTGAGGGAAGAGGTAATTATAACTTATAAGGGTCAGATAAAATACAAAAAGGCTAAGTTTACAGCCTTTGAATTCCTAACAGATCTATGATGTTGCTGTCATTGGTCCCCAACTCACCCACATGTGACGGCCACACGGTGATGTGTGGATGTGAGTGATACCAGCCGACAACTCTCATTGGTCGGTTGAGCTGTACGGCCAGCCGCTCAGCCTCCGTAGACGCCGCGGACAGCTGTTCCGGGGAGATCTCCACCCGGTCCTTCCGCTTGTCCGACCTTCGCAGCATGATGACAGCAGAGATGTGGACTGTCCTGCTGGGGTCAACCTGGGGGGAACAGCTCAAGGTCATTAAAGGGAGCACTAATTTGAGGGTAGGGTCACTAGGGTGTTATTTTGCAACAAATATACCACAATTTTAGGAAGTAGAAAATGCATATAGTGATGATATACTTCAAGGTATAACCTATTTACTTCACAGTAAAATCTACCAACCAAAAAGCATGACCCTAGCATGTCTAGAGGTAGAACACAAGATTTCAAAGCCAGAACTTTTGCTGCATGCAGTACCACATGAAGCTGCTGGGGGGTATATAATCTGATGCCAACCAGCACATATCACAAAATATCATAATTTTATGATCTAGCCACAACTTCTCGAGTTCTGCTGTTCTCACACACACACACACACACACACACACACACACAGACACACAGTGACACACACACTCACACACACACACACACACACACACACACACACACACACACACACACACTGACAGACACACGGCTTTGGTGCATGGTGGAGACGCGCTAGGCGCCTATTTTTATGATGGATATTTGGAGTTGGGGAGGGGGGATCTGATCTTTTTTTACTCACCTCTCCAATACAAAGTCCCATCACCTCCTCTCTCTCCGTAGACAGCGCGTGTGTTAAACACACCATGTAGGCATCAGCGGCCAGGTGAACAGAAGACACTGACATCGCGTTTACTCAAATAAGTACAGTAAAATTAGAAGCAGATTTCGGTTACTCTCGCCTTTTTCTTCCGGTTTCCACAATATGCACCGCAGCAAAACGAATCTCAGTGGTTTTCAGTTTCTAGCGAAAGAAATCATTCAAAGTTCTGTTTTGCGAGAATAAACTAAATTACACTTATATTGCGAATTTTTTTGCAGCTTTTGATAACTGAAGCAACTCTTTATAAAATCACCAGAGAAAAAACAACAACATTTTCTTGTGTGGCTGCGGTGGAAGTTCTTACTTTTCCAAAAGGGGAGAATATATAACTGTTATGTTGGCAGTTTTTTTTTTCATAAATTCCTTTGTTTTCAATACAAATGTAGCTAATGATATTAGCCTAAATTTGTATTTCTATAAAAAAAGTAATTTAACCATTTGTGACTATGAAATGATATTTTTAGTCACCCCTATTTGTGATATCGGCTAGCCTAATGACCCCGAATAACCCCAACAACCAAAACACAAGCCAGACGCCACATTCACGAGTTGCACATTCCCAGGATCCTTTGCGCACAGGGTAGGTCACGTGGGCGCACAGGGTAGGGAAAGGTCGCGGTAAACCACGTGACTCATCCTCGGCTCTGGTCGGAAGAAGGTGCCCTAAGCTATCTGGCCGATAGTAGGCTGGGAGCATTCAATTTCAAAAGTCTGTCTTTTTGTCACATTTTCACGTAGTATGTTGAATCAACCCTATCCTATCCCATACCGATAGTCATGGAGCAAAAATTCGATGCCGCTTTGCCGTACGAACGCCGTGAAAAACTACGTGCCTCCCGCCGCCGGCAGTGGTGTCAGCCATTTTTGAAATTTCCGAGCGCTCGCGAACACTTCCGACTTCTTCCGACCAGAGCCGAGGATGAGTCACGTGGTTTACCGCGACCATTCTCTACCCTGTGCGCCCACGTGACCTACCCTGTGCGCAAAGGATCCTGGGAATGTGCAACTCGTGAATACCGGAACTGCACAAACTGGTCCAGCGACTCTGCAAAGTCTGCCGATTTACCTGCCGACCCAGTCATGTAGACCATCTTGGCAAGGTGGGAATTCTTGTCTACATGCTGCTGAATAGTTGGAATTAGTAGTTTTCCTTTTCCAGGTTTAGTACGTGTGCATTTTGTAGAAGGAGGGCGGGGCTAAAATTTCTAAGAAAATCTATCCAAGCAAAGAGGTTGAATACCCTCCTTGAGCTTCAACTAGTTAAAATGTTTTGAACTGCACTAAAGTTAGGCCGCATTTATATGTGAAAATCCTAACTGTTGGATATCTCTTGCAACGTCATGTGCTGTTGTTGTTGTCTTTGTTGTTTGTGTGAATAGACAACTTACTGGCGCCTATCCTAATTATAATATGCACACCGTGTGTTTTTTATAACATCAGGGATGATAACATGAAGCGTGGCGCCCTATTATGGCGTGCTACCCGCATTCCCTGTGATTATAAACAAATCTCGATTCCGTGCCAGACGGGCGTCTCTAACAATTACCGGGTTTTCTTGTCTCTTGTTACATCATTAAAACAGACTTTCTGAGTCTGCTAGCTGCGACCAGTGACATCTCTCTAACGAGGCCAGGGGACTGCACTCTCCACTGATGACTACAACATCATGGTACGTGGACATAATTTTCGTCCTGCCTTTCTATATAGTTACTGTAAATTGTGAAAGTTACGGTAGTTAATGTATTTTCGTGGTAACCTTTTCACTGTGAATTAATGACACTGTATTAAAAGATGTCTTTCTTCATTCTTGTATGACTTAATACTATACTACAGATTTGTTAAAGCTATGAATTTAAGACAGTGAAATGTTTCTTATTGCATATAATCACTGCAAGAGTTGCATGATTTACAGTACTTATAGACACACCTTTTGCATTATTTAGTAACAGGGTGTAGAGTAAGTGTTCCTAACAGCCAATGCCATTGAGCCAACACAAAGCTCAACCAATACTTCGGCTCAACTAACAATGCCCATGACATAGATGGCCCCCGTTGAGTCATTCTCCTGGGTTTAAATTCAATGAAAAAAGGGTTCTATAAAATATAGGTCAGGCACATTAAAGGACCTTGCATACAATATACAAGGTAACTAGTAGTCTTCAATCGCAAGGAGATATAGCCTATAGGGTCCAACATTTGTTTTTGCTTTCTTTGAACAAAAGGAAAAAAAAAGGCATTAGGCATTTTTATTTTTGACAAATTTCAAAGTCTTATGTTGTCAAGCTCTATTGAGCAATCCCCAAACCCAATAACCTGTCTGTCCCTTTCCTTTCATTATGTAACAATTCCCTGGATATCATTGTCCTGCATTATTAATGAGCTCAAGTCTGTACAAGATCAAAGAAACATGGCAATTTTTTAAATGCTATATTATCAGAGTTGAATGTGACATTTACAATGTAGCTGCTGAAGGTTTGACAATGGTAATGACTAGAATAAAACAGAAAATTGGATAGAAAGCTCTTTTACCGCTGCAATGTGTGGTTGAAAATTACAATGGACATCATACCAAGGAGCACAGTTCCAAATTACATTCAAGAAAAATAAAAACACTTCTCAGAGGTCTGTGATGGTTACAAGAATCCAAATACTTACCAGAAGTCTGATTTGGTCACTGATTTCTTCTTGTTCCTAATGTTGTTCCAGGGTTTGCTGTGCAGAGTGTTACACAAAGCACGCATCAAGATGAGACGTAAAATCGGGCAGTACGGCATGACTCCAGTTGTAGCGTTCCTGGCTATTGTTGCATTAACCCTCTACGCCGTCTACCCATCGCTACGACAGACACCGGTGAGGGAGAAGCCAGCGTTGAAAATCCGGGACAGGTTTGACATTCGACAAGTCACTCATGCAATAACGACTACAGAGAACGTCTTCAAGAGGGGACACGAAGGATTTCTCAAGAAATTACTGTTACGGAAACATGAAGGACAGAAATCAGGTACAGGATACAAGATGACTTTATTGAAAATTGCCATTGAATTAAAGCTAATGAAAACCATACAATGAAAACCGTGAATAAGGTAATTACTACATGGTTAATAGAAAAAGTAGTAGTCATATAATTATCATGGCTTAAAATAACATAAATTGTACAAGCATGTCGGCCTTGAACTAAAAACATAATGTTGCAATGTCTTGTTTAAGGCCGTAATTGCATATTTTCTGTGTATGATGATTAAGTCTGCAACAGGAAAGATATAAGGATGTTCACTAAACATCCAACCAAAAAAATCCGGGTTTTGCGCCAGTGTGATTCATAAGGCTGATGTAGTATATTTCCACTGGTAGAACACACAAAAGTTAACACAGACATATTGACTACATTAACAGGCATACAGGAACACAGCAATAAGGAGGAACCCCAGCACACAGGCTGCAGACGACCTGAACTTGACCTCTACACCCCGGAGATAGAACACTGGTTCCACGACGTGGAGCCGCTCAAGTGTGAGGTCGGGCAGAAGGAGCTGATCCACTTCCAGAATGATGTCATCAAGATCGACCTCGACATTCTTCCAGAGGTCATGAAGGATTTTGATGTGAGTAGACTAGTAGTCTAATATGAAGGTGTTGTCTGTAAAAAAAAGGTAAAGGTACTACCATTGCTTCTATGAGAGGCTATAGGGACATAGTGGGTTGTTAGTCCACTGTGCCTAGGACACGATATTAGAAGGTGGAGCCCATCCCTCTCCTTTTACTGCTTTTGACCTCCCCAACATACAGAAGACACTGGTACTCATTTTACATCTGGGTGGAGTGTGGAAATTTGTGTAAAGTGCCTTTCACAAGGTCATGAATTTTGTTTTCATAAAATACAATTATTATATGTTCATTCTTCACATCTTCTATAACTTTCCATATTGCCTTTCAGGATTTTATCTGCATATTCCGCTCCCTGTACAGACGGGACGAGGACTACACACATTTTGATCACGAGCAAATCATCAATATGACAGGCTACACAAAAACATTGCTGGACTTCAACATAGATACAGGTAAGGACACAGCCTCAGTCAGTATGACCCAAACTAATGAAGTATGAGGTAAACAAAGGCTTATTAATCCTTTAGCCTCCCTAGGACTGTTAAAGCTTTCCGTTCAATGCTTTGTTTGAAGGATATATGTTATTACTAGTACTAGCCTAGTATATTGACTGTGTGACCTTTGTGGAAGCATTTTGGGCTATCACAGAAAACCCATTTTTCGACTTCCAGGTACAAAATTGTTTGAGTTTGTGTTACTGCTTGTCCCAATTGCTTCTGAATCAGTTCCATAGTGAGTAGGAGGTGATGTTGACTCTGGGTTGATAGGAAGGTCATACCAGTAGTTTGGTTTGGCTTCATGCTAGTTTTGTTAATCTTTTTCATCTGCAGACTTCTTTGAGATCAGCTGTGGTGAGAACCCGCGTCATCACGACTACAAGGATGGTTACATCTACAACCTACCCGACACCGACATGACCAAAAATGTAACCAACGCTAACGACGGTCTGTTCGAAGAACATCAAAACGCTCTGTTTGAAGAACGACAAGACAACGAGACAAAAATACTCCGAAAACTTCTGGACGAACCTGATGGTGATAATAATGATGCAGAAGATGAAGATGATGATGAAGAAGATGATGAGAATGAGTATTCCATAAAGTACCGTCGCTACAACTATCATGACTATGATGATTACGATTACACATCTTTGAGAGATGTGGCATACGAAATGCTATTTTCACACATCCATCCTAAACCAACGGTCTTCGCCGATGCCAAACAGAAACTTTTAAAGGACACAGCACTCGGGTTGAATGTACTTATGTTCGGGTTTGACTCTACGTCTAGGTTGAATTTTATCCGTAAACTTCCAAAGACGTACAAATACATGACTGAGATCCTAGACTCTGCTGTGCTGACTGGGTACAATATCATTGGTGATGCCACAACAGCTGCGCTTATTCCAATGCTGACGGGACAGACAGAAATGGAGCTACCGGAGGTGAGGAAAAACCAGGATGTTTCTCATTCCGTGGACATTTACCCCCTTGTGTGGAAGGAGTTCAAGAAAAACGGTTATGCAACCCTCTTTGCGGAGGATCAACCAACAATGAGCGTTTTCAACCTACGGTTAAACGGGTTTGAAAAACAGCCCACGGACCACTACATGAGACCCTTTTGGCTCGAGGTGGACTATTCCGAGCTGGCTCATGGAAATTGTCTCGGTTCGAAACCCAAACACGACATTATGCTCGAGTATATCATGGACTTCCAGGAGAAGTACAAAGATTTGAGGAGGTTCACTTTTGGATTTTTTAGTGACTTGAGCCACGGTGACATCAACCCCCTTGCTTATGCAGACGACAGTATGCTACAGTTCCTTCAGTCACTATACAGGGACGGGTACTTAAAAAACACTATGCTGGTCATTTTTGGTGACCACGGTGCTAGATATGGTAAAATTCGCTCAACATTCCAGGGTCGACTAGAGGAAAGACTACCATTTATGTCAATAACTTTACCAACCGAGTTTCAAAAGCAGCACCCAGAAATTGCAAAGAATCTAAAAAGCAATGCAGCCAAACTGACCACACCGTTCAACATACATAGCACTCTGTTAGACATACTGAACTACAAATCAGGCAATGCTTACCCGTACAGAGGACAGAGCTTATTCCGTGAGGTTCCAGAGAACATGACGTGTACAGAGGCAGGGATCGCCACCCATTGGTGCACCTGTATGGAGTGGGAGGAGCTGGACACTGGGCAGGACCATGTGGTCCAGGCTAGCAGGGCTGTGGTGGACTTCATCAATGAGCAGACCTTGCCCTATAGGTTAGGACCTTGTTTGTCTTTCAGTCAGTTCCTCCAAGACAGTACAATTTTACACATTTTTACATACGTTACTGTAGATACTTTGAACATAATTAAGGTTAAATAGAGAGAATACGATGACAGTGGAATTATTAATTATTTTCCCGAGGCCATATCAGCACTTACCACAAATCCACAAATCTATCAAGCTTTTATAGGGGCCTGACCAAGCTACAAAATGTCATTTAAACAATGTACATGAGAGATAGATATTCTGAAAAAGGTTTGAGCTGTGCAGAAAAAAATGGACATACCTACATTTTTTACTGTTCAACTTCAGTCTTTGTCCCACAATTGTGGTGAAAATTACAGTTCAAACCTGCCTCAGAACAGTTGATGTCAGTCATGATATCAGTCAGTTCCTTGGTGTGATTAACAGTTGAGTTGCTGTTTTTCAGGAGTCTGTGTTCCCAGTTGGACATCAGCGCCATCAAAAGAGCTGACCTGGTCACAGCCAATGAGCAGGTTCTGAGGTTCAACGGCACTCGAGACGAGGACCAACGGCTGCCCAGGTTTGGCCGAGAGGTGAACGTGAAGCAAGCAGATATACAGGTTCATGTTTTTTTTTTTACAAACTGTAGGACATTAAATGTGCATTAAATGCACAACGCAATATGTACACAGACCTGTCCTTGGTGCTGAACACAACATCTATACAAACATATAGTAAACTAATGCACAACACAATATGTACATAAACATGTCCTTGGTGCTGAACACACCATCTACACATACATAATACAGTATGTACAAGACCTGTCCTTGGTGCTGAACACACAATCCATGCAAACATATAGTAAACATATAGTAAATATACAGTATATATACATACCTGTCCTTGGTGCTGAACACACCATCCACGCAAACATATAGGACACTAGTGTACAATACAGTATATATATATATATATACAGACCTGTCCTTGGTGCTGAACACACCATTCACACAAACAAAGTCTGGATACTGGTGCACAACACAATTTGTACACAGACCTGTCCTTGGTGCTGAACACAACATCTACACATACATATGGGTCACTGGTGCACAACACAACTCTTTATACAGACCTGTCCTTGGTGCTGAATACACCATCTACACATACATACAGGACACTGGTCCACAACACAATCTCTCTCTATATAGAGAAATAGTATGTAGTATCCTGTTATAGTTTGCATGATAACTGAGTTTGAAACAAATTGTGCCATGAAAGACCAAAATATTTCCAGGAAGTCTAAAAATCTCCAATTTCTTGTTTATACTGGTACAACTGATGTCTGAACCTACCAAACCATCCATGCAGGTCATCCTTGAGACTTCCCCCAGCAATGCGCTGTTTGAAGCCACAGTGACGGTATCCTTCAAGCTCCAGACGTACACAGTACACGGTATCAGTCGGATAAACATGTACGGTGACCAGCCGCACTGTATCATGGACCAGTACCCACACATCAGGCAGTACTGCTACTGCAAGAGCCAGCCTGCACTTAGGAAAAAAAGATAGACCGTTTGCTTTTTACTTTTTGAACAAAATTCTATTTTTCCAAAGCCGTTGTTTGAAGGCAATATTTGCTGTTTTGGTGATGCCCATTGCTGTTGTTAAACCTTGAAGAATTTGTAGAGTTACTAGTAATGCAGGTGGATTTTGAGCACTATACACTCAGTCAAACTTGTATAAGACGACCACCCAGGGGACTGAGAAAATGTGGTCCTCTTAGACAAGTGGTCTTTTTATACAAAAAGCATGGTGACAAGACAGAACAAGAAAATTTCAGCAAAATTTCCACCAGTTTGACAATAGACTGGACCATTTTACATTGTGATAAAGACTCTTGAGCAAGAAAAATGGTCCTTAACATGAAAGTTGTCTTCCTACATTCTTTTTACGGAATATAGATACAATATAAAGCTGTTGTGTAATGTTTTCGTCATGTTAGGGTTGACAGGTGAAAGAAATTCTCTCATTTCTCTCAGCTTCCTAGTCACTGCCCTGTGGTGGAATGTCTTCCTTGCTATTGGTCAGGAGAATACTGATCTCCTTTCTATGAAAGGGTCATGGAAAATAATGTGTTATTCTATAACATACAAAAAACGAATTGCGAGATGTTGGATTGTAACCAACACACTACATGAGATGTATCAGACTTTACACAAATTTGAGTTTGTGTGTATTTTACTATGCAGTTATTGTATTACTATGTAGGATTACTTTAAACTGAAATATAGCAAATTACCCAAGTGGAATATACAATCAATCATGTTACTTTAGATAGCAAATACTACAAAAATTGTTTGTACGTGTATCTTTTTTATCATTTGACTGTACAAGTAGGTAGAAATAATGAATTGGAGGTGTGCAAATAGTTAATAATATATTTTTCTTGGGGTGCAAGTTACTACTACAAATGTATGTTGCAATGGATGGACCTGTATGACACTGAGACTTATAATTGATGATAATCACTTTCTTCCATATTAATGATTATTTGATGATGGTGTCTGTTGTGAAGTGAGGATAAATAAAAGCTTATCAGTGTACAGAAGTTAAAAAATTATATCTACCACCTGAAACTTAATATGACCATCCTGGGTTGTAATTTAGAATAAGAAATACAATGTATTCACACCCCTTTCTGAGGCCACACCAATTTAATTTCTTGGTTAACGGATTTTTCTAGAAAAATAATGGAGCGGGCGGGCGAAAAAATAAATAAATAAAAACAGGCCTAGGCATCCTATTATAGCCCCAAATACTAGTAGTACAATTGGAGCCATGAAGTCAACACAAAAGGCTGGGTTAACATTTAAACAATGAATTTTGAACTTTTAATCCAACCACTGCATTGATAAATTGAAAAACTGCAACAACTAGGAAGAAAATGACTTTCCTTATCTGTTGGGAGGAAAATATGAGCATGTTTTAGTTGATTCAGACCCAGAACCTTTTTTTTTTTTTTGCAAATCGGAAAAAAATGAAGAGGCAAATCCGAGAACCAACAAATTAAATTGGTGTGGCCTTAGAATAAGAAATATAATGTATTCACACCCCTTCCTGAGATTTTAAATCAGACCACTTCATGATCAGCTAAAACATTCCAGATCACTCAGCAATACTCTAAAGATCATTGATTGCAAGTCAATCTAAATAGATGAATTTGGAATATAGAATATAATAGTATATGTTAGTTAGAAATGAGGTGAAACCTCTTGTATTTAATAGTTGTTTCATGCTGCAATATTCAATAATTGTACATAACTATATATGGTAGCTAGTCCTTTTATAATGTATAAATTGGAAAATGCTAGCTTATGTAAACATGTAATGTTTGCAGTATTCTAAATGTTGGACAATCATGTTTGAAGTATTTGTGTGTGATACAACTATTGCCAGCCAGAATACAAACATGTAGTACAAGCACTTTGTTGAGTGGAAAAGCTGAACAGGTAAAATTGCAATAAGCACATTTATTAATGATATGTAAAAGCCACTTTTGTATCACTATGTCAAATGAATTGAATAATTTATGTTCTTTTGGTACTTTTTTGAGTTATTGCCATTTTGCTTTAGGTTGAACTATCTGTATTCTGTTGATGCAAATTATAGATGGAAAATAAACCAAAACGTTACATTAACAGGAATTGGATGTTCTTTATTTTACAAGTTGTTTCTTTGACTTTATCCCTAGTCTAGTACAACAAAACGCAAATGACTCAAACGCAAGCATGGCCGAAACCAAGTAGATAGATTCTCAAATACAAAGACTTTTATTAAAGATGTGATGATTTGTTCAATGACCCACAGAAGCAGTGAGTTAGTGAGGCTGCCTGTGTGACAGTGATAACATTGAAAATATTGTGTGTGAAAAATAAGTCATGAAAAATACACGACTAAGCCTTAACTTTGGCCTACTGAAAGGAAAGTTTTTAAATCTAACACCTGTAGTCTGTTACAAACTGTCATGATGTCAGAATTGTGTTCAGCATTTTGCTGTGTAACCAGGAGTGCTCTCTCCCTATTCTAAAGCTCACTAGAAGATTCTACATGGTGTAGCACACAATGGATATAGGCACACTTTCTTGCTTTTGACAATTACAGTTCTGTATATACATGTTTACAAGTTTCTAGAATGGAGAATAACAGCTGTGACATTGTAAAACTAATGAGAATTGGCTGATTGACAACATATTGTATTGCTTTTCTGAGACATCCCTATTGCAGTACTTACATGTTAGTTCTCGTGGAAGAACATTTTAACACTTTTTGGACCTAAATGGAATCATCCTCTCGATTATTGCTAATAGTAAATACATATTGAATGTGAATCTCAAAGGGAAAACAAGACATCTCTAGGCACTGACTGCATTTCTGGTAAAATTACCAAATCCTGAATGATATTTGCACAAATTAAAATGCATGGAATGCTGGAAGCACTTTTAAGAGTCTAGAAATTGTTGAGAGAATGCTTCAAAAATCCTTCAAATATTCCAAGTATGTGTTCCTGATTGACCACAGTCTTGTCACACTATCGGATAAGAGGTCATCACTTACAACAGTGAATTAGATTACATTTAACAGAGACAGGGAAAGAATTACACTACTCTGATATGTATCATTATAATACAGTTATAATACAGTTAGCCAATAGCCAGACTCCTAAGTACAGTACTGTTCAGCAAAAGTGCTGTCTACATGTACTTTTGCTAAACATTTTGATATGGATTCAGTCTGTCTAAATGCATGATACATGTATACACAATATGAATACAACTGCACAGAAAAAAATACTGGGGTAAAATAGGATTGTAAAGATATTATCTCAGTGTTCATTACAGTCTTTGAGCAACCTAATCTCAAATGCATGAAGTACTGATAGAAACAGATGGATCATGGGTAGGCCTGGAGGTTAAAGGTCACTGAGGTCGAGGTCATCATCGTCCCAGTCTGTGACAGACACGAGGGAGCTCTTCACAGAAGACGGCCTGCCTGTGGTCTGGTCCTTCATTACTGAGGAAATGGAAACAAACTTTATTAGAACTGCCAGAAGGTCCAGTTTCCTATTTACCGCATTAAATCGTATAAGCTACAAGTCTTTTTTCTCATGATCTGTAAAACAAAGGCTGTTAACAAGTACATTTTACTAATATAAGTATTTTCAGTTTTTGTCAACTTTTAGTTCACCACATTTCCTGTGTCTGATCTTTTGATCTGCCATCCTGTCTATGAATGTCTTCTTTCCATGCACAATTGCATCTGACCTTTAGACCTTCTGCCCCAAGTCACATGCTGTCAACCTAACACTGAACAATTACAAATAAACACACAAACTCACAGCTCAGCCACCTAAAACAATACTTCCATAGTCCCAAGAGTTTATAAGATTGTTCTATACCTCTGGCCCCAGCAGATGACCCCCACACACTTGTACCCAGGGTGTTTGTGGAGTCAGAGTCATGCCCGTGTCGGTTGGTACCACCAGTGGGAGGGCGGGACCTGGAACAGGACAACATGGGTCAGGATGGAAATATTCCTCACAATAGACAAGACGTGCCTTCTGGATTATCAATCACTATCAGTAAACACCAGCATATTCTATCATTAACAGAAGTGGAATGTAATGTGAGTTCCCATCTTATCTTACCTGTTGCGCCCGTCTGGGTTTTCTGATAGAGAAGACAGTGAGAAGGTATCGTGGCTGTCATCATCTTCATCCTGTAAAGAATTCAGTATGGTATTAGCCCTCCATCAACTAAATTGTACCAGGAAAATTGTATCAGTAAGTACCAACATTGCCATGTTGTAAAATTATTAATAGATAAGCTCATCAAGTCTATAAGAGTGCCATGCAAATGTACCATAAAAATACATAGTTAGTACTAGTTATTACTAATTTTGCACCTGGCTTAAGAGAGCCTTTAAGTCAGATAGATTTTGACATGACTTTATCTATAGGCGCTCTTGAATTTTCTGTTGGCTAAAGTAGTACTTCAGTTACAGTCACTGTTACTTCAAGAATATAAATTTAAGAAGTTCTTGCCCACCTCAAAGCTGTCCCTGCTAGTTCTCCTGTTCCCCTGGCCCTGAGCCTTCTCCCCTGACATGGCGTCCACCGCTCCTGCCGGCTTCTTATCGTCCCTCCTCCTCCCCGTCAGCTGTGCCTCAATGGACTGTGCCAGCTCCTTCACTATGGTACCCTGGGGCTGTCTCACTGCCGAGACGGGGGAGCGAGGCTTGGCTGGGGCTGCTCGCACCTTACTGGGGCTGATTTCTTCCAACTCACTGCCACTAAAAACAAAGAAATTTCCGGTTCAGACTTCGGAATAATTTCGGTTTTCATGACCAAGTTTAACAACCCATTTTCTTGTGTCTGACCTTTTGACCTTTTGTCATTCTGCCTGTCAATCTTCCCCACACATGTCCTATCAACCTACTCAATCCAAACAGACACAGAAGCTCAATCCAAACAGACATAAAGGCTCAAACAAACAGGCAAACAAGCAAACACACACACACAAACAAACAGCTCAGCCACTTACTGTTACTTTACCCAGAAGCAATTAGAGAATTTACTTTATAAGTATGAGAGAAAAAAGTACAAACTTCAATAAAGAATATTCGCATCTCACGACACAGTACCTTTCTGAGTCCCAGTTGCTCTCAGTCTCGTCGTCCCCTGCCTGGGGAATAGCCACTGCCCCACCCCTGGGGGCCGGCTGTGGGCTGGAGGGGGTGCGCTGTCTGGGCTGGGGGGTAGGGGTGGGGCTGGGGGTCCTGGGGCCCGCGTCGTGGATCTCAGGGAGGGACACTTCACTCTCCGAGGACAGGGAGAAATCCTCCTCAGATCTGTGATGGAAGGGAAATAAGTGTATGTGTCAATTGTGAACTTTTTGCAGTGGTTGCAGTGTAATGACTTTAGTGACACTGCAAGTATGACAACTGTACTACAGAATTGTTTATTTTGTATCAACTGCAAATTGAGTACCGATAAAAATTATATAGATTCAGTTAACTTGGATAGGACATAAAGCTGTAGGTCCCATTTTTTAGAGAGACCACACCTTGGATGCAATGCCATTGTCTCTCAAGACAGACGGCTGCCAACACTAACACACACACCTAGAGTAAGTTAAAAAACTCTCCGTACTTATCGAAAAAAGCAGGAATATCTCCATGGAGTGACTGGATCAAACCTTATAGTTACAGTCCAGTATTACACAGCTTGTGCTAACAAAAGTGGTGTGCTACCAGTTATGAACAAACGTCCACCCTACCCAGTGCTGGTGAGTGTTCCTGAGAGATGTTCCCTGTCCAGTCTGTCCGGTGTTCCCGTCCTGGGGGCAGGTTTGGGCGGATCCTTCCTCACCTTTGACCCCTGACCCTGCCTCTGTGACCCTGAGTCAGGACGTGGTCTCTTCTGGGCGGCCCTGACAGGAGGGGGGGTCTGGTCCGACCAACCACGCTGCTGGGAGCCTGTGGCTGGAGGGAGAAGTTATACAGCATTCGCATTTAGTAGTAGTATTTTAATAGAAATATTGAATCTATTTGCCTGCTACAAAGAGGCTATTTACATCAGGGCCCATCAACCTTTACTCAACCGCGACGGGGCCAACATCGTCTACCAGATACCTTTGACCCAGTGTTGACGTCACACTTCAGAAAAACCACATGACAAGCCTCACTGGGTCAGTCTACTGAGGAAGACCAGAGTGACTGCCAGTGGTCGAAAGCTCTAGGTGAGAGAACTTCTTTTGTTGGATCAAAAGTTTTACCTTTAACATGTAAACACAGAACTTTCATGACACTTTTTATTTCATTTAAACAACAGGCTACAATACAGAAACATAATGTATTTTGGAAACATTTTCTTTCTTTTACAGAAGACAGACAGATAAATATTGAAGAACTGAGTGACAGTTAAACCCCTGTAAGACCAAGCCTCACCAGAAGAGGGCCGACTGCTGCCAGCCTTGGGGGACTTCTGAAGCTCTTTCGCCCTGCGGTCCACAAAGTCCAAGTGCTGCTGCCGAACATCCCAGAATTCCTTGTACTGGTCTGCAATCTGGATCCTCTCCGTCTTCAGGACTTTCAGTTTGTTTTCCAGCGACTGAGCTGTTATCCCTGTAGTACCCTAATGAGGTATGGGTTATGTGATTAGTCAAAGGGCTTTGAAATGCTTTAACAAGAAATTTAAGATTTCAGACTTTTGGGAAGAGTTTAGGGTAGCTTTGATTGTATTGGAAATGTTAATTGTGTACAATTCACATTCATAGAGTGGAATTGTCAACTGAAACCTAATCTCCATCCACTCACTTCCAGTCCTTGTCACTGCAGACAATACTATACTTACTAGTATTGCATATTGCAAACCTCCACTAAACCAATGCCCCCTAAAACTTTATTTACAAGTCATGGCACTGCTTTTAAGTGCTGCCTTCCCTGCATTAGTATCATGTGCTTAATACTGTACTTCAAAAGAATCTTTACCGGTCTTATTCCTCTCTTCTCCAGGTTGACCTGCAGCTCCTCCTCCAGCTCATTTTTGATCCCCTGGATGAGGGTTGGGTTCCTCTTCAGAGCCTCCACCAGCCTCAAGCTCCTAGTGGTCCCTAAGGAAAAGAGCAAAATAGCAATTTAGGGTCAGTAGGAAGGGTCAATAGGTTCTTTGTTGTTGTTTTTTCTACATTTTGGCTGAAGTGACTTCAGTTGAACAAACATCAAGAAATACATCAAGACCAGGGTTGTCTCCAGGACTCCGTTTGCTTATAAGGAAGAGACAAATATTCCAACCAGTTTTGTGCTGCTGAAAATGCATAAAAAAACATTTTAGAAGGTTTGAAATTCAGATTTTGTGTGATCAAAGCAGTAACAAAGAGCAAACCAGGCTGGTAACACCATACATGTATATCTGGTGAGCAGTGTCTGTCCTTGGTGCTGAATGACACACCAACAAGACTGATGTCCCTGTCCTTGGTACTAAAAACCTATAACTTCTATAAACAATATTCAAAAAGTACATCACATCAGTGCCCTGCCTACCCGTCAGGTCATTAGTAGATAACATGGTGTCCTCCATGGTAGACTCCTCCTCTTCCTCTTCACTCTCTGACTCCTCTGTGGTTTCCGGCGAGGGTTCTCGTATGACGGGCACCTTCTGGGGGGAGGGGCCACGTCTGGGGGGGCTGGGGGACACTGGGGGCTTGGCCTTCACTCCGGGGGGCAACTGCAGGCTAAGGGGGGGGGGGTACAGAATAACCAGTTGTAAAGGTTTTTCACTCTTTATGTGTATAGCACAATTGTGTATTTCTTATCAAGCTTGATACACATTTCCCATAGCCAAATCTACTACCTTTTATAAGCAGACAAGCAGTAGGTAGCATGTCTTGTGGTTAGGGTTGTTGACTTAGAATCTAAAGGTTCTGTGTTCAAATCACTGTGCCCTTGGCAAATGCACTTTTACCTATAATGTTTTCACTTGAATACCTTGCTTCGGTTATGGATGTTCTCTTGGATGGAACGTAAAGCCGGAAGTCTTGTGTTTGAGGGGAGCCACACTTCGAAGATTCTACCACACTTATTGAAAAAAAGTAGGGGTCCATCCCAGTGTGAGTGGTTTAAACCTTACAGTCTAGGCTTACACAGCTTGTACCTACTTCACAAAACTGGTGTGTTACGCCAATAGGCAGTTTACCGGTTATAGGAAAGTAAACAACATCCCTTACCGGTCTGCTGGCCAGGTCGTCTATCTGTTTCCTCTGCTGCTTGATGAGTCTCTCCTGCTCCTTGGCCCTTCGGATCATCTCTTCTACCTGCTGGTCTTTCTTCTTAGACTTGTTGGCGATTCCCTCTCGCTCACTCTGTAGTGCCGCTGTCGTGTCTGATAGCAGACTGTTCATCTTTTCCAGCTCCTAACAAAAAGCAAAAGATTTTAGACTTACAGGATGTGTTTTGGGCATATTGGGACTGTGTTATGTGATCATATACCCGATTGAATTACATCATAGAATGGATTAATTACCTATGTCTGCATGACGTAACTTACTCTAGTGTTACTCTATGGTTTATGTTTCATTCTTGTTGACCCCATACCACATCCTACCACCAGGCCATACCGGGTCACAACCTTGTCAATCAACTGAACCCCAATCTCCACCCACTCACTTCCAATCAAACTCTTCCAAATCATTGATGTTGGATAGTACATGTATACCATCTAGAATGTCAAAAGAGAACTGCAGCATGCATCGTTGCACACACACACAAAAAAGGTGAAGAAGGTGTTTTTTAGGGAGCCCATACCTGTGTATGTTTGTCCTGCATCTTTCTCATCCTGTTTTTCCACTTGTCCTCCTGGGAGTCTAACTGTGACTTCAGATCACCCTTCATGTTGGCCTCGATTCCTGCCATCTAAAACAAGAAATTGAAATAGTTGCAATATATTAAACTTACAACAAACTCTGTCTTATTTACATTTTACATGTCCATTCTTTCCACTTGTTGATGCTGACTAGTACATGCACACCACCTATCAAGTCAAAAGAGTACTGCAGAACATACAAAACTGTGTTTAGCTATGACTTTTCCCTAAAGATCCCTTATTCAAAATCTAGTTATCAACATGTTCAAATCAGGCAATTTCCAACACAATGATGCTCACTAGTACATGCATGACCCCTAGCAGATCAGAAGAGAACTGCAGACACAAAATGTCACACAAGAAAATTCTCACCTTATCTTTCAGATCTTCCTTTAACTGCTGCACCTCCTCCTGTTGTTTTCTCAGCAATTCTCGTTCCTCGTCCATGTCATCTCGTAGTGCCCCCAGGTTTGACCGCGGACCGGACTTCTGCAGTTCCAGTAACGTGTTCTGGGAGGCCTGGTATTTTTCATTCACCTCTTTCAGTTCCTTCATAAACATGCTGCTCATCTTTTCCATTTGTTCCTATATATTAATGAAATAAAACTTTTAATATCTTAATGAACATGATTAATGTGATTTGTATATGTAGATGTCTTTATAGCTATTGCAGCAAAATTTTGAAATCTTGGCCCTCTAAAACCCTATTTTCTGCATTTTCGGGGGCAAATTTTGCTGGTAAACTAAGTTCAGTTGAATGAGTACCAGTAATCTCCATATTTTACACACAGATTTTTGTCCAGCAGAAATGACAGATTGGACAAAATTTTTTTCCATCATGACAGGCAAAATACCGTCAAATGATGAAAAGACGGAGGCTGGCTAGAACACTGCAATCATGTGACAGTCATGTGACAGTCATGTGACATCATGTGACAATCATGTGACTGTCATGTGATCCCCACCTGATGTTTCTTCTCCTGCACCTCCTTCCAAGCCTCCATCTCCTTCCTGCTCAGGTCCTGTAGTCTCTGTTGTTTCTCCATGTCCTGAGCGATTCCCAGATTTCTTTGGTTCCTCTCATCCTGAAAGTAACAATCCAACAATCCATTATGACAGTACTCTATGTAGTTAAGTGATTAAACATATGCAAACATGTTCAAAATTGGATATCAGAAGCATTATATATTATTGGTTATTAATGATAATCATATTGATCAACAGACTGCATCAATGTTTTGTTTCATACCATGGTTATACAGTACACATATCTGGCAACCCCATACCACATCTTTCTACCCAGGACATACCAGTCACAATCCTGTCAATCAACTGAAACAAAATCTCTGCCCACTCACTTCCAATCCATTTTGCTCAGAACAAAATACACACAAACTATCACAATATACACTAGATACAAAATACACTAGCACCACCCAAAACAATACTTCCATCCAGGGGGTAATCTGTTTATTACCTGTAGTTGTGATTCAGTAAGTCTTAATCTCTCCTTGATTTCTCCGAGTTCTCCCTCCAGCTTCTGTGTAGCAGCTCTGGACTGTACCAAAGTGGCATCAGAGGGGGGTAGAGACTCTGGGTGCCTCCTGTACACGTGCTGCTGTAGGAAGGAGGAGTTCAGGAAGGCCTTGTTGCAGTGGGGGCACTGGGGAAAAAATAGGCAGAAGATTAATAGTAATACAGATGAAAACTTTGAAAAGTTGGTGTCTAACAGATACTGAGACACTGAGATCTCTTTTCCTACAGTGCAAGATTGTCTGTTGATAGGGAAATACTTCTGGTTTTCGTGAATTCGAATGAACTGGAAGTGTGGGAGGCATATGATGTAACTTGATTGAATGGGCATTACAAAACTTCTTCAATTCCTCCATATACCAACCGCTTACTCAACCCCTATTTCAATCATCCATCAAAATTACCTCCCACCTTGCCTGCCATGCAACTGAAGCCATTAGGGACAAACAGACACACAAACCCACAACACAGCTACCCAGAACAATACATACATAATTGCTTAACAGTAATTATCAGTGACCTTCAAGGACACTACATGTACCTTGTGGTAGTTGTTTGCTCCAGCCTGCATAATGAGTTGTTGAGCTGCTAACATCTTTTTCCTCTTCCTGCTCTCCTGTTTCACCTTCTGAAGCTCCTCCTTCAGCTTCCCCATCTCCTGTTTCGTTTTCTCATGTTCCTAGTGAGACAAGTAAGAAAACAGATGACTTTCTACAAATTATGCATATTAATTGCTAGTATATGCCCTGAAAGTGTGGCGTCGGTGAGAGAGGCCCCGGGTTCGATACTCACCGCGGCCCGACGTTGTGCCCTTGGGAAAGGCACTTTACACGACTTCCCCACCATGTACGGTGGAGTGACGGCCACCGAGCCTCTTAGGCTAATCTGTCTAACTGGGTGCCAAAAACACCCTACGGATTTGGTGCGCCGATGTGTCAAAATCAGCACATTTGCGACCAAGAGCCGTTACATTTTTTTTATTTTTTTATATGCCCTGAAAATGTCAATACTCGGTCCTTCTAGCATTTACAGATCTAGAGATGATGGGATGAAGGCTACCTTGGGTTCCATCCTATTTGTAGACTAGGGCCCCCACATACTCGCTCCCTAGAAAATGGTGTATGAAATAGTGTAATATTCTAACTACATGTATATACTAAGTAACTATTTAATGGTAATACACTGTAATTATCTTACCTCGTTAGCCTTCCTGAGTTTTTCATCATGTGACCCCACAATGTTTGTCAGGTAGTCTTGGGAATGCTGTGAGAACAGGGTTGGAAACATAGTGTTATATCTAGTAAGAAATGGAATTCAATATTTGTCATATATGATCTAAGAAATTACATGAATTAAACAGTTAACTTCAGAGTTCAATGCAGGGTTTTACATTTTGTACTTACCAACAAATACTCTATAGTGAGCTGTGCAAGGCGAAACAGCTTGACAAAAGTGGGATCCACCATCCTCAAATCCTGCAAGAAAAACAAACTCACAAGTCAGTCACCCAGAACAATACTTCCGTACCAGAAAGTTATAACTGTTACATTTCTATATACATAAACGTATTTTTTTAAATTTGAAGGAATACCATTGAAGTCACACAGTGATAGCCTGGAGTCCAGTCTTGTTATAAAGTTTACAACACTGGACATAGGCTAGCAATAGTAGCATGGTGAGGTTTTGAAAATAACAATTTGTACTGACCACTTCCTGCTGTATGTCACAGAAGGTGATGTTCATGATGTTGTCCTGCAGACTGTGGAAGTCCAGCTCCCGAGAGATCCGGTCAACATCAACAGATGCTAACAGAACATAGAGAAGCAAAATTAGACTGCATGTATTCAGAGATATGCATAATATTGCAGTGACAGTGACTTTTGCAGTGGTAATACTAATTTTGTAGGGAGAGGGAGGTTTTCAGTGTTTACATGTACATTTACAGTTAGTAAAATATTGGTGGAGAGGTGCAATATAATACCATATCTTACCTATCTTTCTCCAGTCGACTCTCTCAAACCTTTTCCTGAATTGGAAACCTGTAGAAAAAATGGTAAAAGTGCAACATTTTTCAGTGAAGGAATAAGAAAACAAGTTATATTCCTATACTTTCAAAAGTGTATGTTTGCTTATGTACAGTACTGGTAAATTGATGTTCTAGCTATATATATAACTTGTTTTACTAGAGTATGAATAACCAACCACCCACCTGTTCCGTTAGCCCCCATACTGGTGCTGTAGCCGTAAGACTGCCCCTGGGCTGGACCATAGCTGTACTGTCCTGGCATCATGGCAGTCATACTCACAGCTCACCTCACTACATTAACCACTGCAAGGAATCATCTGATTAGAAGAGACAACAATGGACAATACACCAATGTTCAGCCAGAGTGTTGTGAGTTTGCCTGACTGCCCAGTGCTTCGCTACTGAGTCCTTTCACTTGCAAGACCTCAGTGATTATATGAAAGCCAGAAGCTAATAATGATCTTTCTTTCATAGTCAGTAACAGCTGCTGCATTGCCCACAGTTGAACAAAGAAATATGTTCCAGCAAGATTATGGTAACAAACCTGTTTTATGGTCAGCCAAATAATTTATGCCAGAGATCAAACAGTACCAGCTTGCCGATTCTAGCCAAGTGTAATTTGGACGACATTTACATGTATGACAAGTGCCGTAAAAGATAATTTATGATTTTAAAACTATTTAGACATTTGTGTTACACTAAATCATGCAAATCAACCTACTAGTAGTTTGCAGACTACTTTTATCCTCTTTCTGTTGCCTATTTAAATCACAGGTCCACAACTCCTGGCGTAGACGTTTTCACAATATGATTAAATGAAACATTCAAAAATACACTGTAGTCTTTACATAGGCAATTGTCGCATACTTTTGACGCACCGTCATGCATTTATTTAGCGTGAAAAAAAGAACAAAAGCAAAATGCATTAACCATTGTTATAGACAAGGCGAAAAGCAACCACCTGTTAAAGCCTACCAGCAGACATGAGTCACAAGACTGTAAGGCCCCGCCCTGGATAAGTACAAAGTGCACTATATTTACAGCTGCAAAGTCAAGTTGTTTACCTTAGCGATTAGTGGTTACGTGAGAAAAGCGTCTCACTGTAAGTTCACGCCGAGGGGCTGCGCTGACATATCTTACCAGAGTGTGTGTGCTCTTCCTCCGCTGTCTCGGCGTAATGTTTGAGTGCGATCTACCGCCTCGATATCTCGGAAAACTGCGAAATTCCACAACCCGCATGCAAAATTCTTTTCAAAACAGACGCCATCTTTGAAAATTCGTTTACATCTCAAAGCATGCTGGGAAATTTGAAAACATGATAAATCGTTTTATAAAAGTTTTTAATAAAGCTATATAAATCATCGTCTATTCTTTTTTCAAATTATTGCTTTAAAATGAAAATTCTTAGTGCCTAAATATTACTTTTGATGACATTTAGCGAAGGTAAAAGTATAAGTTCATAGGTCAACCTGTCGACCAATCAGACGATCCCACGACGGAATAGTCCAAAGTAGGAAGTTGTGATGTGTAGTTGTGCCAAGATGGCTTGGGAAATGGTCGGCGTCTATCGCCTCCTGTCTTCTATTCCTCTCTTTGTCATCATCGTCAATCTTCAGTACGAAGGTAAGGAAACCCTTTTACCTCAAGATCAGTTTGAATGGTGTACAGAATGCTTTAATGTTAATTTAGACGGCTTCCGAATGATGCTACACCGATGGGCAAGATGGGGGAGGGGGGCCGCCGGCAGATCGGAAATGAAAAAGTCGTCTGCTGTCAAATCTCTGTCGTCGCGCTCTTCTTGTATATCTCATAGCAAGTTTGATAACGTTTAACGGAAGAATTTTAAAACTCATATTTTACATCAAAGATAAATTTTGTCTGAACGTAATCTGTAATCTGAACATACAAATTTGTAAAGCAAATAAGTAACTTGAGGTGTGAAAGACCAAGGAGCTTTCATCACAAGGAGGGAGATCGACCTTAGTTTCCTTTCAAGGATGTTCGTAGCGCGTGTGAAAATTTGATTCACACCCGAGTGCCAATGACACTCATATGCATGAATCCCATGCCGGCGCGCTAGCGCCTTCCTTTTGTTATTCAGGTTGTTTACAACCTGGCACAGCCTAGTAATGGCGAATTGTCTATGGAGCGATTTTATTTTTG